GGTGGGTCAGCGTGTCATGAGTCTTCATTTCAATATGGGTATGATCAGCCAGGATCAGCTGGACAAAAAGCATAGAATACCAACGAAAACTCAGGGACAAAAGTAATTCAGGAGAAACAGGCGGAGTCAACGCATATCAAAGCTATCAGACAGTGAACCAATCCTTGACAGTCTGCATGTTTGGTCAGGAACATCCGCGTCAGCAATGAGTTGGGTGCTGGCCGACCTGAAATCGCCCGTTTCTCTGCGCAGGTGACCTTTGTGCCACTTGGAGCACAATTATTGCACGCCACGACCCGTTCTCGTGTGGAGACCGCTTCTCGCAGAAACTACGTCAGATGGCATCCCTGCGTTGCTAGTAACAGAACTTGTGCAGAGAGGTCGATGATTTATATCCCAAACGGCAGATACACCAAAATCGCCAGAATCTATGGGACTAGGTCTAGGCGGTTGCAGCTGATTCTTTCCATTCACACACTCCTTTGTGTCAGGCTGGGCATTGCCTTGGCCTTTTCCATCTCAACCGTCGTTTTCCTTGCACGACGATGGTGGGTTGGCCTCATCACCTCCGACTTAGAGGCAAAGCTCATGGCTAGAGTTGAGATATCTGAAGTTAGCAAAACAAAATCGATCACTTGGGAATTTCATTTTATGAAATGTTATGAAAATTTTAAAAAGATATGAAAGCAGTACGATGAAATTTATGTTTTCTTGTTGAACATTTCATGTATGAAACGTTTTCAATACAAGTATGAAACACATATGAAACATTATTGTTGATTTTATGAACACATACCCCCAAAACACAAGAATTCAGAAAAACACATACCAACATCATTAAACAATACAGATATATATATATATATTCACAAAACCAAATTTTTGTATTACTTTATGACACAGATACGTGACATTTATGAGCGATCATAGATTTACCCTAAATTCTGGCATATGTTGTTCATAATTTGTTTCAGAGTAATGTCATAGTATACTTTTAAAAAAATAATCATATTTGTTCTATGGTTGTTTCTAAAAAAAAAATACAAATAAAAACACATACTGTAAAAGACAATACATAGTAAAATCAATTTTGCCAAACTTATAATGTCTCAAGGCTAGAGATCAACGTGTTTACAGTCCAATCCAGGTGAAAGGTGGTAATGACGACCAACGACCACCAAGTGATCAAGACCACCGTTGCTATGGTTGCTCATGTTTCCTTTGGGTATATATTTTCTGACTCCACAGTGCTTGGCATTCTTCTACCATGAGGGGAGCCTTGGAAGTGGTAGCTCTGTGAGCTATCAATCAGAAGTTGGCGAAGACTTTCTGGTACTGTAGCAGGTTATCATGCAAAGATCCATACTGTCGCACTTTGCGCCAAGGAAGACCAACAAAATGAACTTGCACATAATATATGCAGTAGTTGGCTGTTGTTTGCTATACGTGCGGTATGTGTAGAATTATATAGATACTATATGTTGGTTTGTAAAACTTCGGCTGTGCTATTCTTAGTGTTTTGTTCTGGTTCCAGTTTGACAATTGAAGTATTATTATAGGTGCCCTTGTTTTGTTTTGACAGCACAGATCCCCAAAAGTATAACTTCTGCAATGTAACGTTTGGTGTAGTTATCGCTTGCGCCCCTAATGACTGGCTTGTGATCTCCAACAATTGTTTGTTTGTGGCGTTGTACCATGCAGTGACGGACGGGCCGCTAGTGCTTCCTGTCGGACGAGCTCGTCCGATGTAGGTGCAGCGATGTGCAGAGCCTGTTTTACTGGTGTGTGCGTTGAACGTGGCCTTTGACTGCATCTGCACAGCCCCTTGGAGGACGCTACGAACGTAGCTCCTGGCCATCTTGTGTAGTCTACCAGCCTTGCAAATACAGGCCCTAGGAGCTTTCTTCATCAAAACACCTGGAAAGAACGCCCAAAAGCGCCGACATGGCATCCCAGAGGAGTTTTGATCAGTCCTCAATCAAGTTTTCGGTGTTTTCTCTTTTTAAGTTTTTAAGTGCCGTACACACTGCAGCGATGCCAAGGTGTCCTCGGGCTCTTTGAAAGGATGTGGCCGCCACTTGGGCATGAAGCAGATTGAAAAGAATAAGGATGAGGTCAATCCCCACAGTGGTTCTTTTGGTGATTCAGGTTCCGAAGAGTCCTCCATCTAACCGTGTTCGAAGTGCAAGTTTAGTTGTGTTGTTTCTTTTGTGCGGTTCCAAACAGGTTGACTTTCTTTGTTTTGGACAAGGAGATGACAATTATAATTGAGGGTTAGGTGCGGAATGTTCCTAATCCAGCTCATGCTGCAGTGTATTTGCTTGTTTCAAAGATGTTTCAAGGGATGAGGCAAGAACCTTGAAGATCCTGAGATATCGCGAGATCTCACTCTTCCGTCCGCAGAGGGGTTCAGAGCCTGGTTTTGGTTCGGAATCTCTGAGGCCAGGTGATCCTGGCACCAGTGGTGATCCTTTGCTATTTCTGCATTGGCATACCGAGCGCTTGGTTGAGCCCACTACCAGGCAGAGCCTGGAAGACACCCTGTGTGGAAGAGAGGTGGTGAATCATGGAGGAATAGAGCTTTGAATAGAGGACTACATATTGATATAGGTATGGCCCAGGCCGAAAAGACATTCGGAGTGACTTCATGACCGGACATGAAGCCCTAAAAAGCTCTGGATTCTGAGAATTCAGTGCTCCCTGCTCCCTGTGACTGTCTTGATTCGATGTGTTTCTTCTCTACATATCCTCTAGCCGCTAGAGCGCCTCCCTCCGGATCCATATGGGTCCCTCTGCATGGCACCGTTGCCCAGGGGGAAGTCATCGCACCGTTGCGGGATTGGCCCTGGGCTCGTCCTTGGGGACAGCGACCCATACAATGGCCGTTTGCGTGGCTTGGTGGCGGTTGGTGTCGTCCGATTCGGAGAAATTGGGTCGGGGAATTGCGAAGCTGTCTTTGTCACAGTTTCACTCTCCTGGGACACCAAAGAGTGATGAAATGGGGACCCTATGCCGCCCCTAAGATGCATTTTGATCTGAAATTCTTTGTATTTGGTTTGAGGGTATCAAATTATCAAATATGATCGGTGAAACGAATCACAGATTGTTGATGCTCCTTGATGCAGTCCTGACTATATCGATATCCAATGGAACATAGGAATGAGAACTACTCCAAAGATGGATGCACGCCGGCCGTTCGCTTCATGAGTTTTGGACCTTTGTTCGCACACAGGATTGGTTGATTCCGGCCCTACTGGCTTTATGATCTTTATGAGCGTCATATGTTTTCTTGCTGTTTGGAGTAGCGCAGCTCCACATTCTTTGCTGTCCCTTTTCTGGATGAGGTGCATGTGATAGTTTGGAACACAGGGAACTATTTCATTGAAGTCATCAAACATCCTGTAAAGCGATATAGTGAACCACCTAGAGCCATACCATCATTTCATTCAATTTCCTGTATTACGGTTCGTATTACGGTATATTTTTTGGTTTGGCAATTTCCGCTTTACATAAAGCAATACCAAAGCGATACCACTGTTTGATCAAACTGATGTCTAGATGAGTGGGAGCTCCTTTTGTATCATTTTCTAATCTGTGTATGCCACAGGTGAATAGATCTAGAAACAGAATCGCTGGGGCAGTGAAGGGGGAAGGAAGGGCTGCCTTGTGAATAGAATTCTTGCTTTTCTCTCTCTCTCTCTCTCTCTTTTTCTTTTTGTCTCTCCACATCTACCTGCATCCATGTGTAAATTGACACAGGCATCCGAAACACTGTAAAGAGATGTAGCGAACCCCCAAAAGCGCTACCAGCATATGGAGTTGTGCCCATAGGTTTGAATCTCGCTGACATGCTCTTGTGGTCCCAAGAACTTCACTCGGGGTGAACATGGCAAGTACATTAGTAAGTATATAGTCAGCTCTTCAACTGCTAGTTGGACATTACCCAAGATCTTTCTTGACACTCTCGGAAACAACATGTGCATTCGAAGACAACATGTGTGTTTGTGTCTTCGAGGTCATTCTTTGGACGACCAACTGGGTCGTGATGTCTGCGCGTGCACGTGAACGAGCACATGCTCCACAATTGCTTCTGCAATGAGTCTTCAAAAGGGAGACTTCTTGCCACCAAAGAAGATAGCTATGCATTTCCAGCTTGGTTGTCGAGGGTGGTGGATGAAGATGTGCATGTCTTCATCCACAGGCCACAGGCCCGTGTGATGAAGGGAGTGGGACTGAAAGTTGATCCGACCAACCAGGTGCAGGCATAGCAAGAATCAGTGTGCATAGTTCGGTGGCATTTCAAGCGTTTAATGTTGTGCACACTTTCATTTTATACTTATACTGCGTAGTAACTGGCTGTTTCCATTTTCCAGATCCAGCGACTCAGAGATTGTCCTGCGATCATAAAACATATTTGAACAACTTGGTAGAAGCCATCTCCATTGCAACTGGACCTGGAATACAAGCCAAGATGTTAAAGCTCCCAGTTCTGAACGCTTGCCTGACATGTTCACTGAAGAATCTTGAATCCTTTGTGAGATTTGGTCAAGAGGACGAGCAGTTCAGATCTGCGGATCTGTTTGGGCCAAAACCCCTCCCCACGAGGGGTGGCTGATGTTCCGGGTCTCCAGGGACCCCCGACGTTAATCCTTTGACCCAGAGGGGCTGTGTGCTACGACGCAGCTATGGCTCAGGGCGGTGGAGGGTTGACCACAGGACACAAGTGACTGCGCAGCAAAATGGTGTGTTAGAGATGTTAAAGTCACCGCTGGCAGACTCTCCAAGACAAATGAAGTCAAGTATTTACTGCAGGTGATGTTTTGTTTCACAATATTTTACAATGACAAGTTGCAATATGTTGCCACTGATGTTTGGTGCTAACTAGACCCCATTCAAAGCCCACAGGGTTGGGGTGTGTGACTCGTTTGGAGTCATGGCCCGTTGGCCCCCAAAAGGCACTGGTCGTCCTTCCATTCTTCGAACGACTCGCCTTCCCAAAGGCACTGGTGCGAGGCTGGCCAAAGGCGGCGGCTCCAAATGAGAAGAAAGTCTTTTCCAAGCACGACTAGTAGATACTAGTGCCATCATGCCATTGCTATTAGGTTGGAGGTCATCGCTCTTAGGTTGGAGGCCATCGCTATTAGTAGTAGTCCTTGTGGGTCCTGCTGAGTCGATGAAAAATCACAGCGATGGAACCAAGGTTGTATGAAGACTGCATGCTTTGCATGGCTTGGGATGTGGAAGGGCAATATATTTAATTTTGAGACGCAGTGACTCACTGAAAGACTGTTTCATCCAGCTCTCATCTATTTCACGACGTTTGAGATGTTTGACCAGCACTGATGCAGGTGCTGCATTGCCTCCTCCATCACGCAGGCCAGCGGGATGCAAGCATAGTGGATTGGTAAGTTTAGTATAGTTTAGTTAAGGCTTTCTTGACGGGAGAGTTTAGCGACAGTGTTCCTCATGAAGATGGGGGTTGATTCATGTACAGTAACAGGATGTAGCAAGATTTATATATCAAATGTTGAATAGAGTACCAAAAGGTGGGCCAGAATTGTTTGTGTCTGTCCACTTGGGATGTGTTTCGCAATGAAAGACTCCCAGAGGCACGCCACATCCGCACAACAACGCAGATGAAACCTGATGCACAAGCGAGGCCGGAGCGCTCGCCTGCGCACGCTCGAAGTGAATGCCACCCTGGCAGCTTTGTCCGTTGGATCCTCAGCTGATCGTCGCATTTTTCACCCAGGCAGGCACATCTGTGGATGGCCAACAGGGGACACCCCCGCTTGAACCCTGCGAAAGACAGAACAGAGATAAAGAATTCAACTCCAATTTGTCCCAGGTCTTCTTCTGCGATTCCCATCCTGTTTATGACCAGTTTGCCAGCAACGGGGTTTGTTTCGGGAAGCCAAAGGGCAAATGGATGCTGATTTGATTTTCCTTTTACACTGTGGCCGAGGCTTCGCAGCAATGGCCCATGGTGTTGCATCTTTGGTCGTTGGGGCAAAGTTTTCAGGGTTGGAGGCTTGGAGATGGGATAGCTGGGTAGCTGCAACATGGATGGGGTCGTTTCGGTCGTTTCGTCGGAAGAAACCCCAAACTGCAGGCAGGTCCTGCTTTTTTTCTCGTGCCAACCCGTGTTGCTTGTGCTGGGAGGCGAATTGGATTAAAGTCATCGAGTGGGTTTGACATGGTTTGACCAGGGCTCTCGCCGAAGGCATCGAACAAGTATTCTACAGATACACATAATATGTAGATTGATTGATTGTTTGCAACAAATTGATCTAATTCTAATCATTTAGAATTGGCAGTTCATTTTGACATATTTTGACCCCTTTTTGGAAGACTGTATTTGCAAGATGACCAAAGGCTATATTTTTGACCCCTGCTACACTTCTCAGCTCATTCCGCACACTCCATGTATGCAATGTGTACCTATGTTGATTGATTCTTGAAACCGCTAGCTAGGCACGGAGTGTGTGACATGTTCGGGCCAGAAAGTTCATCCCGAAAATGATGATAAGCCTTCTAGATTTTCTAGAAAGTATGAGAAAAGATGCCTTTGTACCAAGATCCTTTCAGAAGAACCATGTGGATCCCGAGGACAAGTCCTTAACAAATCCATCCCGTCGATTCAGAATCCTTTGCCCCAAATTGGACTGTGGACCTTGTGGCAATCCAATCGACGTACGGAGGACCGGATCGGCCATCGGAATCGCACCGACCCGACTTCCAGGGATGTGGTCAGCTACAACATCCTTTGCCACGCCTTAGGGTGGGCACAAGGGATCATCCGTGTTTGTGTGATTTGTGTGCGTGTGTGTGTGCGTATGTTTAGTTGTTCAAATGTTTTTTGGTTTTATGAGTGAAACATGTTCTATCTTTCAGCAGGTTACCAAGTAAACCAGTTTGGGGTTCCTTTGATTTGATTTAGGTTCTCTGTATGATTTCGCGGTGCAAAGCACTTGTTGCCACCAGTTGGATTGCCTGGCTACACAAGGATTGACACTTGCATGTCCTTTAGCAGGACAAGCTTCTCAGCTCGGTTCGGTAATGGCACAATCGTAAGGATTTTGGCAGAAAAACAGATTGATTTAATCACGTTTGGCAGTAAAAGACATGCTTGGCATGGCTTAAAGGATCTAGGTGCAAAGCACGTTTCAGACATTGGTGCAAAGCCACTTTCTTCTCCTTCTGCACCAGGCGTGGAACTCAATGGATTGCTGCGCAGCGATGCTTCCAGCAGTTGCAGGCCAGCAGTTGCTTGCCTTGTTACTAGTAGCTTCTTGTGCCTAGTAGTAATGGCATCCAACTTATTTATATAATATCGATGACCTCCACCCTAGTAGCCATGGCCTCCTACCTACTAGCTTCTCGTTCCTAGTAATGCCATGAGCTACTAGTAGCGATGTCCTTTGTTCCTAGTAGCTTCTTGTCACTAGTAGTTGATTAGGTCGAGGTTGGATTGTTTTGTTGTTCACGTGTGACGGGAGTTGTTTTGATTATCACGCTGATTCTTCCAAGTCTGCAATTACACGTTGAAAACGATTTTGTCAAGCCATGACAGCTTCTCCAGTCACCCATTTTGGGTGCCAGCTTCAAAAGAGGTTGTTTCTGTTGTTTTGTAAACATGAGAGGCTCGATCATGTTCCTCATTTTGTTTACAGTATATAAATGTCTCTTCAGATACATGATGTTCATATATGCTCATGTTTTTGTGCAGGAAGGCTTTGGAGACCTGACCAAACAGGAGTTCCCACGAACTGACAATCCACCGTAGTCCTTGTCCCAATTGGACACCCCAAAAACGTTTTCGGCGTTTGTCCAAGTGGAAGCTTGTCCCACGTGCTTGGAGAGATTTTAGCTATAGCATGCTATAGCAGGTGGCGGAGTTACGCGGATTTGTTCGTTGTAATGGTTGAAGTGGCTGGATAGACCTTATGTCTCGACGCTGCCAGAGGCGCACGAAGGCGAGACATCGCAACATCGCAGCGTCCTCGACAGGTTGCCAGTCGAGTAGATGTCAATGAGCCAGTCGTAGATGGATGAATCGTTATTGAGAGCTGCTTCCACCCTGCAACAGTCCAACATCATATTCGGATCAATATAGATCAATATAGCCAATTGTCTTCCTCAACACTTCAGAGCTCCTAAGACGCAATTACCCTGGTGTAGTTTCAAGAGATTGTGGCGCTTTGCAAGATGAGACGAGCAGACACAGGTGCACAGATTTGTTCGGCAGTGTTGGGCATGTTCTGCAATGCTTCTGAGTCGTGTTTGCTTTGGCAATTCTTCCATCAAGAACGCTACTAGGGGTTCCTGGCCTTACTACTAGGAGCAATGTTCGCTACTAGGGCATCGCTATGAACGGAACAAGAACGCTACGCACCGGGCATCGTTCTTTGGTTTGTCAGATCTACAGCCGAACATCCGAAGCTTCAACACGAGACTTGCACTGAACGAATGTCGGGGTGAATCGGGGCTTGGCAGCCCACGGATGGGAGTGTTGCAGTCAACCCTGGTATTACAGTCAATGTGTTACAGTGTTTGTGAGAGTTGACGACGGTGATTTACCACTCCTCAAAGAGGCCTGTGGTTCTCTTCGATTTTTGCAGAGCATGCTTGCACCCTCTAGATGCTTGATTCAGTGTGAGAAGCATTTCCAAGGATGCTGAGCGTCTACGAAAAGTCAACGGTCGGGTGCCCAGTGCTTGATCAGCCGAAAATGGAGGATTGTGGCGATTATGGGAACGCGCAGAGTGGCCAAACTGTGCCAAAAGTGAACAGTGACTTCTGAAGGCTTGGCCCTGTTTGACACCAACAATACAAAATCAGCATCACTTAACCATGCTCTCCAATGTGAATATGTGATAATATGCGTGTCTATAACTGTATTTATAAGCTGTGGCAGGTCTGGGCCACCACGACCACACCATGTTTTGTTTGGCATTGTGGTTTCAATCGTGCCTTGTTGATGAAGCGTGATAGCATTCCCCCACCATGGCATCGGCAGTCGCTGAAGCACCGTTGCATGTCGCCCATCATGATGCAACGCGGGCAGCAGTCTCCACCACTGCGCTTGGAGTTTGCGCGATGCGTTGCTGGGAATCAAAGAAGGATCCATCTGAGCGATTGCTGTATGACCCCTTCGCCGCAATACTCTGTGGAGATGAGAATCCCCAACTCCCTTTGAAAGAAGAGGTGGGCTTGACCAAGGAGTTTTGGATTGACTTCATCGCAGTAAGATCCTTGACCATATTGAGTGGACCGACAGATAGTTCAGAGCAGATGGCTCAAGATCCCCAAGCAACGCTGTTGAAGATAGATTAATTGTTTCCATCTACTCTGATGCCTTTTTCTGTGTGTTTTCAGTGCCCCAGCTATACACTAGCGCCTCGAAGCGCAACAGTTTGTATTTTTGCAGTATGGGACAGCCTTAAATTGCCCCTAGATTGAGCCACACAGGAGCAGTTTTATAATAATATAGCTTTATACTGCCAAGCTATTAGTTGTTTCCCTTTGCCACACAATGTGAAGACTCCTCATGGGAGAACGTAACTAGGTCGGTACAAGCAAGGACCCAGGAGACTCAGCTCGTCAACAGTTGAAACAGGCAGGCATGTTATCACAGGAAACGTGCAGCGTCTTTATTGGCCACTGACTGTGCGAATCCCCAGCCATGCCCTGGAAGCATGACGGTTTGCATCGGTTTGCATTCGTGTGTCCAGGGTTTGTCAGATTGTCCAAGCCTTTGGTGAGTTGCTGAGGCTCTATGTTGTTGCTTCGGTTTGTCTTCTTCGCGTAGACATGAAAAGGATATATTAATATGTTTGAGAAATCTTGTTCTGCATCCGCAAAACGGTGGCGGAGGCCACCAAAATCTGTTCTTACTCTCTGCTGACTCGGTTGAACATGAGCGTGTTCGTCCATTAGGGCCTTCGTCAGCAGCCGTTCGTGAAGCGTCAACCAGCGTCCCGTCGAACGTGCATAGACCTCCAACGCTGGTCACATTGTTTGATGATTCCTCTTGACCTTCTTTGCATGGATGGTCTCATACGCCGATTGAGTTCCTCCTTTTTTGTTAGAACCTCTTCCCACCAATTCGCACTGTGTCCGCAGCTTCTTCCGGTGTAGCTGCTTTATATATATATATATATGTATGTGTCGCTGGCAGCCATCGCAACAGTGTTTGGCATCATCCAGGTTTTGTTGGCGCCTATCAACCCTAGGATCCTAGTATCATGGTTACTATCAACCCGAACCCGGAAGCTCCCAACTACCTTCCCTGAATCGACTCACAAACCCTCATGACTTCTCACGAGGACGGCAAGTCTCACGTGTAGCGGTGTACGGCTCATCCACAGCATCCTCCTGCGCTAATTCCTATATCTCAAGGTTGCCATCAAGCCCTTGTGGTTCCTATCAACCCTGGCGGAACCAATTTTACAGCGTGTGCGTGTGCTGTCAAGGTTCAGTCCGGCTTGTCCTTGATAGCAACAAGCCCAGGACATGCTGTTCGGGCCCCAAGGTTCAGGGCAGCACCCTTTTGGTATATTTGCCAGGATGGCCATTGTGAACGCTCGCCTACGTGTGTGGATTCCGCTCAGCCAGGGGAGGTCCTTTGTTGGCCACTGGGCCAAGAAAATACTATATATATATATACACATAGCTCCTCCAATCCGCCAAGAGGCTTTTTCTCCAAATATGGTGTAGCCATTCATGAATGAAATCTGGCCTAGTCTCATGGTCTACGTAGCCAGGCTCACAGATGTTTTCACATCTCACCATAGCTCCTTGTTTGACATTTGTGCCTGTGGCACCCATCGTCTTTGCGCAGTGCTCAAAGACCAATGTACACAGGCATGTCCAGCTCACGTGAACTCCTCGCTCTCATAAAAGATGTGCTCAATGCCCCTCAAACAATAGGGAACTAAAACTTGAAAGGGAAGCCAAAGATCAAGCTCTTTGTCAGCTGAGCTGTGGCCTCCGCAAGTATCCAGAGCAGCCACCGCCACCCTTTGGGTGCAAAAGAGAAGCTGGATCCCATCCTCGAGACGTGTCAAACCCTCAACCTGCCCCTGCGAACAACGGCGGTACTGGAAGGGAACATGTTCAAATAATAGGATCACCCATCCTCTTGCTGAAGCAATCCTTTGGGTGGTGTTCAGCCTGGTCCACTCATTCATCCTCAGGTTTCCACACTCGAGAGCGGATGTACTTTCAGTGGTCACGTGACTCAATCATCTCTCAGAAGGGCTTAGCCCCGTGAACGCGTGAACTCATGAAGCACTCATGGAACTCATGAAGCAATAGGTGAGCATCACCATCATACCGACCCACCAACTGTCATGCTTTGTGGCCGTCGGAATTTTCATGGTGGGCCGTCTTTGGTGAGCCAAGTAAGGGGTAAGCCAGTGGCAAAACCTTCGGAGCCCAAATCTGTCCTCCCAACAGCTTCCTACTGAGCTTCAACCAGCAAAGTCAGGCTCATCAGCGACATCTAACAGCCGGAAAGAATTCGAAAGAGTCAGGACCATTTTCTTTGGGTCCATTCTGATCCCCTGATTCCACAAGCTTATGAGTCACCTGACCAACTCATGGGGACATCCTATGCGCATGCTGATGCCTTGAAGGTGAAAAATCTCTTGCGAATGGTGACCATCATGCCGCGCCTGTGCTATGACCACTAGGTATTAAAGGCTCTTCCCACAAGATCTTCCTTCATCGCCAGGCGAGATCCCTGACATCCCGGGATCCGGTGGAGCCAGGCGATAGCCATGGCAGTTTGGAGAGCCATGGAATTACAGCCAGAGGACCTTCCCAAACCCTTCTGGACCTTTCGCCTTCCAACTCATTTTCTTCCGGCATAACACATCTCAGGATCCCACTGGATCGATGAAGCTGCTGGACACCTGGAGCAACTGGTGATCCTGGGTGCTGGACTAGATACACGAGCATATCGCTTAGAGTCTCTGCGTGGTGTGCCTGTCTTCGAGATAGACTTTGAGGAGGTTCTCAATGCAAAGGCGCTGGACCATGCGCTGGACCACACACGTCGTTCGATATAGTTTGAAGCATGAGACTGCTCATGTCATAAACGTCAGAGTGTGTGTGTGTGTGACTTTGGTTACAGTCATTGCATGTAGTTATATATATTAATAGACTTGCACACATTTTGAGATGTCCAGGCCACACTGCTGGGGGCCTTCGAGCCCGTGGCAAAGCAGAGCTGCATTGGTGCAAACTTGACCTCCCCTGGCTGGATGAAAGAGCTCTTTGAGAAGGCGCCACAGAGGAGGCAAAAGATCATGAGCGGATCTTAATTGGACATGAATCTCTTGAGGTTTTGCCAAGGATGACGGGATGTGAAGTCCACGGGGACTTGAGGGTGGGCAAATGATAGTTTGACATTCTGAGAGGGGGAGCGACCCACTGTGGGCACCTGGTGCCATGTCTTTGAGTCCCGGCAGGGCTTCCACCAAAGCTCGCCTTCGATGTGGTTGTTGGAGGGTCTTACGGGCTATTTGACTGAAGAAGAGCTGGACTCCTTGCTACGGAAAGTCTCAGACTTGGCATCTTAGCTTTGCTCAGTGGTTTTGGCCAGGACAGTAGAGGGTTGGTTGCAAAAGGGGTCATTTGGGATTATGTTTTCGCATGCTTTCGAGATGCTTGAGCAGCTAGGCTTAGATTGATTGAAGCAATCTCAGCCTCCAAGCTTCGATCCAAGGGTTATTTGGTGCATGATGGTGCATGTCAAATTCTGATCCAAACACCACCGAGCATCCTTTTCTTGGGTCCACGCGAGATCCACCCAACGACCTACGGTAATCCATGATTCCGTGATGACCTACGGTAAGCATCCTTGCTCCGTTCGTAGCGATGCCCTTTGCTCCTAGTCTTGTAGTACGGCCAGGAGCCCCGAACGTAGCGTGTGGAGGTAAGCCCTGTCTCAGAAAAACGGTCTCAGATCTCTCATGGAAGACTGTCACGCCTGAGGCGCCTCCAAAGTCAGGCATGATCGCCACCTTCGTGGGCGTTTCGATGCGAGAGAATGCCACGTCAATGCATCGCTACTTGGAGACCTGGCAAGTCATGTGCAGCAGGTTAATTTTTGATGTTTTTGGCACAATTTGTTGGCCTTGCGGCGTGGTATTTTGCTCTTTTTGTTGAGAACTACCAACACCAAGCACCAAGGAAACTCTGCCACTTGAAGATGTATACGGTTGAATACCAGCTGGCCACCCTAACTTCAATGGGTGAATGCCCTCAACATGATGAAATTAAATGAAATTAACATGGCAGTTAACATGGCATTCGACCAGCTCCAGACGTCTTTGTCAAAGAGGGATCATGTGATTCCATGTTGTTTCGATCTTGCAGATAGCCAGCAGTCTTATGTGTAGCAACAATTTTTGGCACATCCAAGTTGCTTTCCACAACGGTAAGATAGCCTCGCAAGCCAACGGTATGTACAGCCCGGGGTAGCAACTTGGGGCCATGCTGTGCGATCAAACAATGAATGAAGTCATCCGATCGCAAAGCCTTCGGAAGGAGGGGTAGCAATACAATGGATCGTCACGTTCGTGGACCGGAAATGCACGTGGGACCGTCATGGGACATCATTCTGTCAATACCATGTTGCAACAATTGCAACGCGTGTGACAGAGGCCATGGGCCATCGCCCACCGTTACCCATAGACTCCATGTATGGAATATATGCCGATCAGTTGACCCCCCTGGCACCACCCCTGGCCTGATCGGCAGTCCTATGGCAGTCCCATGGAGTGTATGGGCTATTGCAACGCATGTGACATCTCCACCCCTTCCCCATGTGAGACTTGGAACTTGGTCGAACCACGTCCACGTCCGAACCCACCGGGACACCTGCGACACCTCCGCTCCATAGGTCTCGGGGCCGCAGCAGATCGAGGAGTTGCTGAGCCGGTTTGGCTGGAGCTGCTCCGTCCATGGCTTAGGTGAAGTGGCAGAAGAGCAACTTGGCAGGAGGTTGGGTGTTGAGTGTTTCTAGGATGCATTGGTTGTGGCTTCAGAACGAGATTCGTCTATTCTACTCGTAGATTCTAGATCAAAATCTCGAACATATGGATCCATGCACGAATCGTAATGTGTACAGTATTGTGTGGTCCTGTTTTGTGGGACATCTAAACAAAGGGCAAATAATGGGCAACTATTATTGTGAGTGTGTGTCTCCTAATTGATTCTTGCCAATTGCCACATGTACACAAATTCCTGGACGTGAAAGTGGAGACAGTGAGACAGGGATGGAATAACAGCTTTGTGAGCACTCAGTTGAGCAATTGCGTGTGTATGTGTTTGGGCTTGTGGATGGAGTTCCTCACTCGTGTAAAATCAGTTACTGATGAGGCTGGTGCAGTGTACAAATAGGGTGTTTGCTGCTGTAATTGACCCGCTTTCCCACACTCTTACACTGACCATGTGGATCCTCTCTGGTGCAATGAGGACTCAACGACTACCGTTGTATGATCTTTGATGCATTTAAGCTGTTCAATGACGATTTGTCCTTGGAATCAATCAAACAAGGGAAGACACCATCAGTTTGTTGAACTTGCCACGGATATGTTTCAACTTTGATGCCAGCGCACGTATGTGTATGCTAGCCATCGTGTTTTGTATGTGTTTGCATGTGTTTACTATTTCTGGATACATTATACCGAAATTGAATAGTGATTCAAATCACCATCCCGCTATGGGTATTCTCAACCTCATGAATTTGCCATGAGAGGTACGGCCGCAAAGAGATTCCAAAGGACTATGCCTACTATTTGGTCTCGGCCACACGTCTCCCATGAGTATCTTGCAATAACAGCCGACCTTCACCCAAAGCGAAACCTTTGGAGCTCGTGCCTATGGAAGCAATCCCAATCAAAGCAGGGCTTCTTTCTCGGCCTGCACTGCTTTTTTGCAAGACAACTCTTGCGGCCGACACCTTTGCAGCCATAGGCCGCAAAACTTTCCAACATACCATGCCCTTAAAAAAGTCCAATGTACATCAAGTCACAGGATGACAGGATACCAGGTCTTTGTTGTTTTTGGTTCATTGGGGTCCTACCTTGCTCTGACAGCCACGTGATAGCTTTGGGTCAGCATTTTGAAATTCTTGATGCTGCTGTGTATCCATGGGAACACTTGAAGGCTTGGTAGTGGTTAGACCCCAAAAAACAATTGAAGGCTTGAAGGTGAAAGAAGGGCTGGTTGAGGACCCATTGCAGTTCGGGAGCCAGCAAAGTTGGCCCCGACCAAGCTCAGAGGTAGTGGTGCGTGTTGCGGTGCTGCCTTGCAGTGGGATTTTTCGCCGACCGTCTAAAAGGTTTGCTGTTTGACTTCAGAGCTACGGGGCTCCTTTGCTGTCGCATTGAAACTGAAACTCTCCACTTCGGTTTGAATTCCTCAAGCCGCGCCTGAAACAGACCAGGCCTGGAAGCAAGCCTGTGCTCAGCACTCAGAGCCCCATTTTTTGGGGGGGCAGTTGAAGATTTGCAAAAGTCGAAAAGCGTATTTGGTTAATATTTATATAGTGATATAAATTAAGCTTTTAGTTTGTAGAAAGAACCATCCTGGAGCTCGGAGCTACTCCCTTTTACAGGGCATCAGCTGCACATTTGCCGACCTTACCCTGGCCATGTAGAGCCCAGGTAGAACTGTTTCCATCCAAAGTCTCCCTGCCTGACCTATCCTGACCTGTGAGGTCTTGCTGGCCAGGATGCTGAAAGAAGAACTTCAACCGGATCAGGCTGGAGCACCAGGCGTTTAAGGCACATTTGCTTAAATGAATGGCATGAAGGCATTGAGCCAACAAGAGGGCTCGGAGTTGAACATAGACTGAGATGGACTAGAAGATCTTCCCTCACCAAAGGTGTATTAAACTAACTTGATTTACCACAGCAGTTTAAATAGTTTTACTAGGCATGCAACCGAATATCAGCAGCAGCTTGATTTACTCCAGTTTTGCTGATCTACTCACTGGTCCGGCTGGTCCAAGCCCTCTGATGATTTCGTGCCACAACCCCAAGTGCCAGCAGGTGAGCCACCACACCATGATCTCGGCCTTCAGCAAGGGACATCAACCCTTGAAAGCGCTTCAGGCGCAAAAGAAGAACGTGTCGGGCACAGGGCCATCTGAAGCCATTCATCCCACCGAACCCGGACCCTATTCGGAATCGCTTCCACGAAGACCGGCTTCGACGTGATCGTCGGCTTGATGGTGGACAGTGTGGAGGCCTTGGACGTCCTGCGAGATCGGAGGAGGCCTGGCCTTGCAGGCGGGAAGAAGCAAAAGATGTCCCAGTGGAAGTGGGTGCCAAAACGAGAGTCACCGGAGCTGATGGATGCTGCACCTTCAATTTGTAATACCTAACTAACACCGTGGATACAAGTCCTAAAAAGAAGCTCCTTCCGCAAGGCCGACTTGATGTGTTTTGGTGATACAATTGATTGCCCATGATTGCCCCTTTGACAAAAGGAATCGACACATCACCCACCACTACCCACCTCCCGCTTGGTTTTCCCCTCCAGCTCGGTTCAAACAGATGCAATTCCCCATGTCGGAATTGCAGAAGTATGTATTGCCATAGTATTAATATACCGTATATTTATCTATATTATAGTAATACGTAATATATAGACATAGATAGACATTACATGACATTACTATAGGTGTCCTACTAGCCCAATGGACCAATTGGCCGGGTTGCATGTTTGCGAATCATATCGCATCATAAGCTGCTTCCCCACTTAACTTTTAAAGCTGAAAGAACGTTCATGTGATTTGAACGGTAGTGGATGACTATGGATTATGAATGACTCCACCTGCACTGGCGTGTTATCCGGCAGATGTGGAGCTTGGCCGGCGTACGGCTCGTTGATTGCCGGGAGGGAGGAATCGCCCCGATTGTCCCAGGTTACAACGCCGCCCTCCGCTCCCTGGCATTGGAAGACGAGGTTGGGCCAATGACAGTAGTTGGAAAAAGGGACGTGATAGAGAAGTGATGCAACCATCCATGGTGATTGTTGCTCTATGAAATGGGGATCCTTTACCTCTATGAAAAGGGGGTTCAGGGGCTCATTTCATAGAGCAGGGCCAGCGTCGCAAACGAGCATGTGACCTGAAATGTCATTATATAGAAGGAAGCTGGTGATGTTGAGTAAACATATAGATGGATGATGATGGATGTTGAAATTCCATTTCATAGTGGATCTGAGGTGCCTTGTTAACTTGGCTTATGGATGTTCGAATTCCATTTTATAGTGGGGTGCCTTGTGGACTTAAGGCGCCCTTGTGAACTTGGTTCATGGATGTTAGAATTGCATTTTATAGAAAACTAGTTTATAGAGAGACATGCCGAAAGAATCCGAGATGTTCCAAGATATGCGCGCGCCATGCAGCCCAATGAATGCCCAATGAGATCCAATGAGGACTCACATGCCTCAATGAGGTTTAAAGATGTGTAAAGTAGTTGCCGCTAGCCGCTAGTCATAAGAAGCCTAATAGGGGGGCCAATGTTTCTGGGACGTTCAGGGAGGGATTGGGCTTTGGGCTCTATAAAATGCCTTGAGCGGATTGATCAGGGGGTTCTTACATATATCTTAAAGGAAATTGAAAGGAAATGCATTTTATAGAGGTGGCCCTGGTTGGTGATGATTGCAGGTTTCCACATGGCTTCCAGGCCTGGCCAGGCAAGAGGGAAGAAGCTCCAGTAAGATCATACCAGGCCTAGGCAGGATGTTGTGGGAGATATTGAGAGATTGTGTGCAGGCTTGAAAATGAACAGATTTTGTGGGGTTTAGGCATTTCATAGAGGAGGTTTGAAGCTTTGCAGGTTCTGGGGAGGGATTAGGCTCTATAAAATGCCTAGAGTGGATTGATCAGGGGGTTCCTACATCAATGTTGAAGGAAATTGAAAGGAAATGCATTTTATAGAGGTGGGGTTGGTGATGATTGCAGGTTTCCAAATGGTTTCCAGGCTGGCCAGGCAAGAGGGAAGAAGCCCCAGTAAGATCAGACCAGGCCTAAGCCAGGATGTTCTGGGGATTGTGGGCAGGTTTGAAAATGAACGGTTTTTGTGGGGTTTAGGCATTTCATAGAGGAGGTTTGAAGCTTTGCAGGTTCTGGGGAGGGATTAGTAGGCTCTATAAAATGCCTAGAGTGGATTGATCAAGGGGTTCTTACATCTATCTTGAAGGAAACTCAAAGGAAAGGCATTTTATAGAGGTAGGGTCGAGGATGGGTTGGGGATGGCTGTTTTTTGGGGTAAAGGGTTGAAATTCTAGCCAGCTTGTAAATGCTTGTAAGGCACTGTGATTCCTCAGTTCACCTGTCGGTTCTGGGACGCCCCACTCTATAGGGAGCGGCTAGTAGTTGCCGCTAGCCGCTAGTTTTTTGCAAAAAGAAATCATTTTTGAGCTGAGCGGTTATGTGCACAATGTCATTTCATAGAAACTAAAGAAGATGTGCTTGATTGTGCTTGTAGATTGTTGATATATGTGAAATTCCATTTCATAGTAGAGGCAATGTTGTGTCACCATGTCATTAGTTATGATTGAAATTCCATTTTATAGAAGGAGCGCAGTTGATGTCAACCTTCCGGCGTAGATGTTTCTGGAGTTGAAATCCCATTTTATAGTAGCACCTGGTTTTCCATTTTATAGACATTTTTCTTATTTTGATCCTTTGTAACTCATTTCATAGCCACCATTTCTCAAAAAAAGTTCTGTAAAGCATCCAACCCATCAATCACCGGGGATATGCAACCTAAAACCTAAGAGCGATGACCTCCAACCTACTAGCGATGACCTCTAACCTAAGAGCTGGCCTCCAACCTAACAGCGATGGTAGAGAAGTAATCCATGTCAAGTTCCTGCTGATTCAGGTCTTTTCAGTCATGAATCCAAGTTGATGGATGGACATCACGTGATGCACCTCGAAGTACTTGTAATGTAGACTCTTGATTGGCAGCAACCTCTCCCTTTAGATTGAAACACCTCTTCACGTGTTGGGGTTTAAAATGTAATCAAAGGCCGTCTAGCAAACGTCGTTCCACGCGTCGTCCTGTCTTTGCGAGGCGTGGCATTTGTGGCCAAAGGCCTTCGACCTTTGCAGGCCTTGGACCTTCGGTGAACATGAGACACTCATGGAACCTGAATGGTGACCTGCAAGGAAGACTACATTCCTTTTACACACCAGGCATGGCTTTTAGGTTCCATGTGGTCCAGGGCCTATTTACGGGCTGAGTCAAACTGGCTGAGTTTGAGACTGCGAGGAAGATGCGGGAAGATGGTCTAGAAGCAGATTTGGGCACATACAACGCGTAGCCACCTTAGAAGAAAGATGTTTCTTGGAACTTTTGCTTTCACTTCTCTGCAGATGGCACAGACAGCTCATGAGCATCTTCGGGTTTGCAGGCTCCTTGTTCTGTGCAATGTGCCGACGCATATGCTGATGAAAACCGTTTAGACTTCTTCCCAAGACGTCTTTTTCAGACAACTCCTGGTTTTCCAGACTCCAAACTTTCGTCCCACTCCTTGGATCGCCAGGAAAGTGGAACTGGGCGCTTCACTTGCTGCGTGAGGTGAATGAGGTCGCCGAACGGTCTGTCGTGTTGTGCCGAACGGTCACCGGAACGGCCCGTCACTTCGGCCCGATGGATTCTCGACGGTCAGAGACTCCGAAGATGGCGCGTCGAAGATCGCTTCAGGCCTTGATTTGACTGACAAGGTCAGTTAGTGTATACCCTCTGACGAACACATCACATGGAAGTGGAACATGGTCCCTTGGATTGTCCTCTTTTCCTCAAAGGGGTTTTCCACTTTATATTAGTGTGTCAGAGTGTAACTAGACTTGCTACTCAAGGCCCATCAAGGCCCTTGATGCAGTGTTGTGTTGGTCGCTAAATCTTTGACTCAGCGACAGTCTTGCAGCCTGCGGTCATTCACACAAGGACTCCAACACCAGAAACCTTCCCTTCTGCGGTTGGTAGGTGAGTGTACATGGCATATATCTTCTCAACGGGCAAGACCCACGTGCTCTTCCGGTGGGGGAGACAAAAGGGCTTCAATTGGGGTCGGGCTTGACATTGAGCCACAGTCGCGTCGCGACTTCATGCCAGGCACGGCTTTGCCCAGACAACATTTCATGGAGCAGCATTGCCTGTAGCTCAGCTTGAAGATGTCAACTCAACACAAGATATTTGCACATGCGTTCGAGCTGCAAGACCGGAGCTACAAGAGCTGCTAGATCTTCAAGAAATTCAGGTGCCGGAATAGCAGCCAGGGTGCTGTGGTATTGTTCGTTTGACCCGTGCCCCAGATGTTGGGTAAAGCTTGTAAAGCTTGTTGCGCAGTCCCTCAATCGACAGACTGTGACTAAGGTAAATGCATGCAGCCATGGTTCTCATTGGCAGGTGAGGGCCTTATCATACCATCTGACACCATCCACCCTTTGTTTTTCACAACCCTACAGCTTATGTCATAGAGATATACTATAATTACACACTTACCACACTGCATTTCCAGGTCGCCACAAGCTGTTTGGCCACAATGAGGCCTGGCAAATTGAGGCTGCAGTGTGGATCAAACTCAACCCAAAATGCGGGCAATGGATAGTTTGGTCATTTCCGTTGATCCCTTGCAATAAGCCATTTGACTAACATGCATTTTGGATCATTTTGCACACAGAGTGAAGAAGGAAAACACGTGTTTCGAGCCTCCATGCGTTTGCTCCTTTGGCTTGAATGAGGGGTGTTGGGATGTATTTGGTATGTTGACTGTTGGTGATTCGCGGTTGGCACTTGGCTTGGTTTGTGAGGCGTGTCAAAGGACAGCCAAATGTGGTAGTGTACAGTGCTTTGATCAAGGCGTGCGCAGCCTCCACCACATACAGCAAACAAACGGCTATATAATCTATATGGGAGCGATTCAAACAATAAGTGACTTGAATCATGTATATGGGCCCACAGCTGTTCCATACCACTGATCCATACCCGAATTTTTACCCATAGCCATATATATATATATATGGGCCAGAATCAACTCAGTCAGTCCTTTGCGAACAGATCCATTGGTCGATGTGCAGATAGGACCCGGGATATCTGGCAACAGTGCAATCAGATGCAGTATCAGATGCAATCAATGTGTTGGTTCTATGCATTCCCTTCAGTTATTGACATCCTATGACCAAGTCTGAGTTTCCCACGTCTTCCACTGGTGTAGTACGTCCAGGTACGAGCGCGCCAGCCAGTGGGAGCGTGCTGTGCGTATCCTGTCCTTAATGCAATGGTCTCAGGCATTTGAATATCTTGCAGTGATGAAGGTAGGGCCTTGAGAGCCTCAAAAACACGTGGAATATAGTGGAATATATTATAGAGTATTAATTATAGGATATTATATTGCAATGATTTGAATTAGAATAGTGAAACTTTAGAGGTGTGATAATGTATGCGGGTGTTTCTCCATTGTTAGACTGTTAGACTCTAACTTGTCTTCTTGCTAATAAACAAGTTGATGTTGCTATGGTATAGTCCCTTGTCAGGGTATGAAGCTGCGGCTGAGGCTTGACGGCTCTCAGCCCAGGCAAAGGATCTCGGATTTGAACAGAAGCCGTGCCTGTTTTTTGGCTTGTGGGAAAGTCACTTGCTGCCCCGTGATCAGTAAAGATGTGGTATGAAGAGCCAAGAGCATGGCAAAGCATCTCAAGACCCTCCAGGTGTGTACAGCTATATGTCATGTTTATATAATTGTGTTATCTATATATGTAGATTATATAGTATATATATATGTATTTATTTCTTTATACAATATTGTATTGTATGTGCATTTGTCAACACCTTTTTGTTTAGCTGCTAGCTGTTTCCCATGAACCATGCAGATCCTGCAGAGATGAACACCGAGGAAAGCAAGACATCAGAGTCTCTTGATGTGGCATCAACACAACTCGTTTAGTGAAAACAATGGTGCATTGGACTCTTTGATTGGATAAAACAATACATGTTGTTGCCGCCCTTGCTAAGTGTGCAGCTGGTAATGCTAGACTTTCTCGCTCTTGATGAGATAATGGATAGATGAACTAGTTCGTTAAGTCAAGAAAATCGTTTTGGTGAAATCGCAAAGATGCCTTGAAAGTGAGCAGACCCTAATCATAGAGGTGCCAAAGATAGTGCCAACTTTTGAAAATGGTCTGGTCCTTGCTTGAATCTACACCTGAAACAGATGCAGCAACTGAATCTACTGATGAACGGACCAAATCTGGGTATCCTCGACGGAGTCTTGCCTGGGAAGGTCTTAAAGTTTTTATCCGTTCATTGTTCTACTTCAGATGAGGAGCTCAGCAGAAACTTGGCCTACCATCCTTGTGGAAAGTTAGGCTGACATGAAGCATGGAATTCAATATCCACAAGCGAAGATGGAACCGGGACACTTGGAATTGCGCGTCTTCCTTGAAGCTAGAGCTGACATAGATGCGGCTGTGTATGTTGCAGCTCAGACAGGCCGCTTGGAAGTTGTGGGGATGTTGCTGGCATCTGAAGCTGGATGCATGTAAGAGCTTGGATGAATTGGTCGTCGAGCCGAAGCTGTACTTCCATGTCCTTATTTCAGAAGCTGAGATCAATTGTTGGGGAGAAAAGGGGGCAGAGTCTTCCAAAGATGTCATGGCGAAGCACGCAATACAGATGGACGAGCTTGTGACATGCGATGATGTAAGGTGCTGTGATGTTGTGATCAATGAGTGAAAGAAAGCTATCACGTATACATTGAAGTATGTATACAATTGGCGTATCCACTTGTTTCCAAACTAACAAGAGGGACAAACTGATAACCGGTTGATAACCCATTGAACATAATTGAAACATAGGTTAAAGATGGTTACAGCTTCGGGGTGTTCTGGTCCTGTTCGTCCGAATCTCCAGGCCTAATCGCGTGACGTGGGGAGCGGTGATTAGCTCTGCGTCTCAGGCGCACCGGATGAGAGAAGGATCTGCGGATATCAATATTATGACAGTCCAGTGTTTGGACCCCTTGAGAAGGGTGGCTTTTCAAGTCTGGTGTTCTGAAGAGAAGACACACCCGCACGTTTTTTATTGTGACGTGTTATTAGATTTGCCGAACTGGCACCTTGTGTTCAAATCAGAAACAAGGCGCAGAATGATTGAGGCGCAGAAGTAGAATTTGTCCGGTTCATTTATATGGCAGCCGCGATACCGAGGGCCATGCATGGCAGCATGCTTTGTTGCTTTTGAGCATGGCAAGGAGGCCCGCCTGTTTGCTTTTTGCTGGGTGCAAAAAACGTTTGACCGGACAAGCCACAAGTTTGCATAAGTCTAACGAGTATGACACTTGCTAGATTCCCGGGAACATGAATATTCTGAAATCTTCAGATCCCTGCGCAAAAAACTTATAGAATCTTGAAAAGTGGGTCATCACCTATTCCAAGTAATTCTTTGTGGCTTTCTTTGTCAGCATGTGTTCCTAAAGCATCTAGGCATTGGTGCAGCCTGGTCCACTTCTTTAGCAGACTCCAGCAGGAAGAAACTCATGGGAAATCGTGGCGCCAGCTATCATTGCTTGGGGTTCAAGACTGCGAGAAGCAGAAATACTCCACGTGAGGACAACAGGGTATCACTGCATCAGGCATGAACTCCAGCTCATCACTTCGATCAATATCGCCATCAGTTGGGACACCTGTGGCGCCTCTGGTTTCTGGTCGTTTGTGTGTTTTGGTTGTTGCAGAGAGCTGAGCAGTTGCCTTCTTTTGGACTGAGAAGACACGAAACCGACAGCCACGTCCGACGTTGGACGTGGCAAACCTTCCGACGTTGGACGTCGTATGACTCTGTCCAGCCCATTTACAAACTGGAATCCACCCAGGCAGTTTGAGCGACCAGCCCAGCAGCAGGGAATTCAACACCAGATCGGTATGCCCTGTTCAATCCAAGTAAGATTGGACATGATTGGAACATCTAGATAACTTAACCCCTTTTGCCCAAGTAAGTAGCGGGAAATCCAACTTATCGTTGGAACATTGTTACAGAATTCTTGGATAAATGTCTCGGCCAAATTATGAGATTAGCGGTGCCAATCACAAGTCACTCAGCTCCTCGTGGCGGGGTGCCTGGGTTTCCTGCATGAACTCTGCTCGATCCCGGCGCATCCGCCAGAGGTGCATGTGCAGCGAGCAAGCACTGGAGGCATGTGGTGCACGGGTGCTGGAGCTCGAGGAATCAGCCTCACACCTCATTTTTGCATTGAGATTGCCTCATCCATTTTGGATCATTTTGGAATATGTTGGATGTGGCTTAATATATCTATATATTACTGTAATACTATATATATATATATTTATATACATTGTATGAATAATATACTTTCGGCATGGACAGAGGGTGGAAGAGGGATTGAGGTGGGGTGGTCTTGATGTTCGTTGGGGACTGTCACAAGAGATTGAATTATTTGGCATTCAAACCTTGGGATATGCAGAGCGCTTTGGGTCCGCGAAGGTGCAACAGGCAGATCAGATCTTTGATTTAATTTGTAGATCTTCCTCAAGTGACTGAAACTGCCACGCACTCTCTCTGGCAAGAAACAACACAATGATTGTAGGTTTGGTAAGGAGACTTATGATAGGTCACCATCAAAAGACACTGAAATAATCGAAAGTATAACAAGAGCAATGCAGAGATCCTTAATTGTCGCTACCAAGATCTTTGTTTCGAGGAAGAGAAAAGCATATTCCACCCCGGGATCCTACTTGCGGCAACCTATCCAACCCGTGGCCTTGTAATTGCCAGTGTTTGTGCTTTTCCACAATGGGGCAGAGCTCATGAAGAAGGACGCATCCACAGATGACCTGTATCGCCTTCAGTGGGCCAACCTGACTCTGATTATAGAGAAACATGTCATGTTGCTGAGCCCACTCTGTTGTGGCTTACATTGGTTGCCGTACAGCACTGCACACGTGCCCTCTTAATATGGGTTACTTAACAGCGACACGTGTTGACTATACTGGGCGTTTGTGTTGAGGCAGTCTTTGGCTTTGCTTGATGAGTGCTTGGCGCCCGACTTGGTGACTTTCAATGCCTCTTGGACGATGACGGGTGAAGAAGTTCAGAAGGGGAGGTAGTGGCACTGCCGAGTTGAGTCCTCGCGAAAGACGTTGGCTGAGGCATTCCTTGCAGCATGTGAATCAGCACAGAAATGGGCCGGGGCCTGAAGCGCTTTAGGCTTGGAATGGCTTCGACTATGTGAAGTGAACCTGAATTAGTTTGATGGTATACATATACCTTTGCAACCCTTTTGCCGAACCTGTCCGATTTTTACGGCCTTGTTGCTTCTCCATGCCTTCTTGTCTCTCGTTGAGGGTGCACTCACAAACGGTGCTTTTTGAAATCCTTTTTGGCCTCGTATTGCATCGCTTGGCTTCCCTTGGCCTGAAAAGCCTGCAACTGGTGACAGCTTCCTCCGAGGAGAGCGCCCTCCAAACGATCCAGACGATGCAACAGCGGCACTTTCAGTGACTGCCCAAGAAAACGGAGCAGGGGCTCAAGAGACCTTCCGCATTGCCAAGCGGGCTAGCTGCTTATGTAATGTCATTTGTTATGATTTTCTGCCAGTTGTTTGCCTTTTTCCCTCATGACGAGATGAACCATGATAAACTTGGTTGGATTTGTTGGCTTTACTCAATAAATGCACTGAGTAGATGCATGCCCTCTTCTTGAGATCACATCCACAGTTCTGAGAGTGTGATGCAATTTGCTGCCCACTTGGCACCATAACCATCTCATAAACCGACAGCATTTTTTGTTTGACCGGGCCCCAGTAGTTAAAGGAGGTCACCTAGAATGGCCCGTGCTCTTGTGCTCGGCTTGGTGGTGGCATTGGCTTCCGCAGAAACCGTGAATGATTGTATTGAAAGCAAGTGTCGTGGATGTGGTGGTGAACAATGTCAGCTTTGCCGAGAAGACAAAAACACGATTTCTGCATGCGTATCATCCTGCATGGACACCATATGCGAGGGCTGTGGTGGTGAACAATGTCAGCTTTGTCGGGAGGATGCCAAGACCATTGAGTCCTGCTGTTCTGAGCAGGTTTTGGCCATAGTGACGGCGGAGATCGACATGTGCAAGGCCAAGGGTCCTTGTGATGGCCTTTATGGTGCTGAAAGCCTCCAATGTGTTTGGGAGGAGAGTGTGAAGACATGCGTGGAGACCAGCTGCAAGGGTTGTGCTGGTGAGCAGTGTCAGCTGTGCCGTCAAGATGCGGGGCGAATCGCCAGCTGCTGTGATGACCATTATCACTCTGTGGACCCTCCCCAGATCTGCAAGGATTCCAAGGAGGAAGCGGTCACAAGCTGTTTCGACAGCAAGTGCCGTGGCTGTGGTGGAGAGCAGTGCCAACTTTGCCGTGAAGATGCTAAAAGTGAATGTTGCACTGGAGCCATGCGGACTCCTTCCTGTGAATCTTCCAAGGCACTTCTTCCATAAGTGAAGGATTCTGCAAAAACTATTTGGAGATTTGCAGCTATGCGTAGACCAAATTAGTCCCAAGGACAGAAGATCCGGTAGGGAATTTTCCGCAACATAAACTGATCGGTCCAGCAATTTGGCTTTTGGGACCAAATCAGGATGCAAGAACATTAGACAATCACATGCAATCACAAGAGTCAAAGATTGTGCATGGCTTGATATGGCTTGTGAGCATCACTTTGTTAATTAATGTTAATTATATATTATACATAAATTCATACCGCTTCCGTTTGGGGGTTCACTTGTTTCCGTTCTCAGGCGCTGAGCATAGCTACCCTCTGACAGCCCCCAGAACAGAACTATATTCCATTGGTGTTGTGGAATGCTGGTTTTGAGTGATACTCGCATCAGCCTACTTGAGGCCTGACCTCATCAGCTTCAACACTTGGCTGAGCACATACCAGAAGGACACCCCGGCCCTGGAGAAAAGGGCAGCACGGTTGTTTAGTTTGAGTCAAATGGTGACATTGTTGGCATCAGAAGAATTTGCTATGAACCTTGCTGAGCTTTCAAACACACCTGATGTGTGGAAGTGAGTTGCGAGCCAACAGCTTGGGTTTGATACGGTTTGATTCCGGAGGATGCAAACAAGACTTTTGAGCATCAGAGCATCTCAATGGACCAAGCCACGCACTTCAGGCCAGTGAGTGGGAGAGAGCCTTAGATGTGTTCAAGGAGATGTCGCATCGAGGTGTCGGGAGCTTAGGCATGATCCCAAACCGGAAGAAACAGAAGATTGGATGTTTTTGGAGCCGTTTGGATGTACTAGTATGCTACAAACAGTAGCATGTATGAGCAGTATGTATTCTATAGAATATCGTTGAATCAATTGAATATTTGGATTAGCTTCTTCTCCGGGGACGTGAAGACCACCGTGATGGACCTCGCACCGCAAAAGGTGTTTTTTTGACAAATCTCCAATGTACCGCTTGCTTGAGGTGAAAAGAAACAAGCATCTTGTCACGTTTTGTCAGCTTCGTTGTGAAGGTGCTTTTGGGTATCAGATTCCGTGTTGGACTCCTGTGCTCAGAGACGATGCCTGTGAGCGGGCGGGTCGCCGATCGGCAGATGTGAGTCACGACGGAGGCCTTGCCAGATGACATCAGCTACAACGTCGTCATCTCTGCATGTGTTTCGCCAAGACTGTGTCATGATGCGACTGTTACCTCTCATGGTGCAAGTATAGCGTTTGGTAGCGTTCTACTTACTCCCAGGCCATCAGGCAGCACAGTGGCAGGCGCGTGAATTGAGATTCACTGTGACATCACCGTAGGTGGTGCAAGTCTTGAAAGCTGCCTTGCTTCACTGAATTGTTTAATGGACAGGTTGCTACAGGACTACTTTGTGCAGCAGCTTCAGGCAAGCATGTTGATGCCATCGCGCAGAAGTAATTCTTCTTTCAAGCCCCTTGCACGAGAGCTCATAGTGGATTCCTTGCAGTCTTTGTTTAGCAAGACAAACACAGTAAATTCGGTATGTTGCAGACATTTCAGATAAGAGGACCGGTAGGCGTAACGGACTCAGCAGCTCGTTTTGCGTTTCTTTTCGTGGCTTGCTCAAGCGGATCATTTGAGGGTTCACCACACACACTCTCAGCCATTTTTTCGATTTCGATATATAGATCCCATCCAAAATCAGCACTGTTATAGCAGGTGATCTCAAGCTTCACCGATTCACCATCGACTTGAAATTTGGGTGGGGGGCAAATCCCAATCTCAGAAGCGTAGTTAAAGCCTTTTCAGGTTTTGATCCTTTGAGCTGTGCGAGCGGGCTGCTGGTCAGCGAAGAGGTTCTGGAGAGGAGATCTTCCGAGGAGACGGGAACCTCGAGGGAACCTCCGCATGGCAACTTGCCAAGTCACGGACCTTGGGGCGGTACCGTAAGCAATGCTCCGTTCGCAGCGATGCCAGGAGCCCCGTTCGTAGCGTCCGATCGCTCCTAGTAGTAAGGCCAGGAGCCTGGAATGTAGCTTCTTTTTCATGAGGTCATTGACCGTCATTGATCTGCAACACACCTGATCACCTGCAACACCAATACCGTATTTTTCGGGGGTGCCTGCTATAGTTCTGGAATGCATGCTATGCTGGACCGTCCGTTCCCCGGGTCCCGGACTGTATGATCCCCACGGAACCGGTGGTTTCCGCAGGAAGCTTTACAGAAAGCCATGATGCTCCTGAGTGGATGGGTTGCGGGGCAGATGGTTCGTGGCCAGGCGTGGCCATTGGAAATCGGACAGCTGCCTGGGCGGCAGGACTTCATCTACCCAAGATTGGGCTCTTAGAAACCTCTCAGAAGCCAGGTGTTGTTGTTTGTTTGGGTGGATGGCTGCTTTGACTCCCATGAGTCTGTTCAAAAAGAAGCTACCGAAGGTACCTGCAAAGATCGCATGATCGAATGATCGCGGTACCGGGTTTCTCGACTCTTTCTCGACTCTTCTCGAGCCACCACGGTTCTCGAGCCACCACGGTCTGATTTTCGGTCCGCCAAAGACATTAAGAAATCCAGAAACCCCAACAAGGGACTTGGATGGACTTGGTAAATCCTTTGGTTGCCAGCTTGGTGCATGATGATTTTCAAGATCACCAAGTCACGGAGTTTTCTCCAATGCCACAGGAACCGTTTGTGCTGATCAACGCCCTTGCTGGTCTTCTGCGCGCTCGCAGCTGTCACTAGACCACACCGTCTCTGGGGGGGAGGGATGTGAAAGATCATCAAACGATCACAAAGGCAAACAGTGCGCCAGCTTCGTTAGCTCACTGATGGCTTCGAGATTGAAAGTGCAGCTTCGAAACAGCTTCATTTGGGATAGTAGCTGCTATGAATGCTTTCTTGGAGCGGTCGAAGATGCTTGGGGCGTAAACATGCTCAACCTCGCTCAAGACTTTGAATGCTCAGGTTTAATATTATATATATACTAATATAATATACGTTACGTATATATTTAATTACAATAATGTGCGTTATATATTATATACATGTTGTTCCAGATTAATTTCGAATGCTCAGATTTGACATACATATTGTTGGAGATTATGCTGTGTGGCTAGGCCTGCACGTCTCAACATTGATGACTTTCTCAAAAGTGGGATGTTCCCAGGCTGGCCCTCGAGTGCGGATTTGGCCTTCCTGCGGCGTGTGCCAGCCAACATCAGCCGAAGCAAAGCCACCATACGTTGTTTGTTGTTTGATGCTGTTCGATGATATTCCTTTGGGAAAAGCTGTTGATTATGCGGACTTTGAGGCACCACTACAATCCCTGGTCACATCAGCCCGACCAGCCGCAGGTTTCAGCTCCCATGGTAGCTTCATTGATGACGCTGTGTGCTGGAGGCATCGGACCAAGTGGTGAAAGTATGTGAAAGCCGAACGATGCACGGATGAGCCGAGAGATTCAGTTTAGCGAATCAGTTTTGGGTTCATGGCCAAATCGTGGTTTCACTGTTTATCCTCTCCTTGGAATGGGTTTAGTTGGAATTTTGTGAGAATTCCTTATCCTCCACCTGTTGATGGAAGTGACTTATTGTTCTTGGTCAGGTCGTGACTGCTGTTTTGTTTTGTTGTTTTAATGTCCAAGTCCGCATATAGCTCTATATACCAGGTCTTATCTACAAAAAAATAATGAGTTCAGAGTAGATTGCACAAACTCAGAGATGATTCGATGAGCGGAATCCAAAAGACCTAGAGCTTGTGCCCGCAAATGTAAAAACAAGATTGAGAAAACATTCCTAATACTAATTGTTTGGCCTGCCTCGTTCCGGCAATACTATATAGCCGCCCTTGAACATTGACCTTCTAGCAGCTAGCACATGTTTTACATTTTTGTGCATAATAACCCTCCCCCACCCAATTAGTTTTGTCCACCATTCTCCGGGCAACTTTTTTGCAATACTATCCACCTTATTTTCTCCCTTCCTTCAACCCCTTCAATTTCACCAATCCCCCATCCTGTGGTTCTGTTGCCAATTCAATTGTTATTCCCCTTATCAATAGTTGGCTCATGCCTTTGGCAGATTGCTTGCCTTCTCGAATCATGCTGCCATGCAGGCCCACCAATTTTCCCGTTTGGCCAATCTTCCTGCCCATTCTCTTCCCTTCCTTCTCCTTTGGGATCTCTCCTTATGAAGAGATGTTGTCCCTGGGACCTCTCCTCAGATTTTGTCTTGCGGGACTCCTCCCAAATATGAATGATTGCAGACCTTCTCCGACAGACCCAAGTAACTGTCTCATGTGTTTCAATCAGACAAATTATGCTTTTGCCCAAAAGGACCATTGAGACCACCAACTAGTGGTGTACTGCTCATTGATTTGATGTCTTTTTCGACAGGGAACACGATGCCATCTCCCTCGCTGGCGGGCCTGGCCACGGGATTCTTCGCAGATGTCTTGGAGCGTTGGGACGCCCAAGACCGCGGATATTTGGGTCGGAGAATTCGCCATCTGGATGATTGATATAGAAAACGTGTACCCTGTTCGTCTACCCCATCATTTGACTACATATGAATATGAATATACATATATATAGTGTATAATACAATATTTATATATAAGTATGTGAGTGTGTGTGTAGCTGGACAAACAATGTACATATCGCCATTTGAGTGGCCTGGGTGCCTTCTTTGCCACGGGAAGTTCTCTCAAAGCAACTAGGTTTGGATCACTAAACTATCCCAAATTGATCGATTGCAAAGAACTGTTTTCATGAAAGAGGTCACAATCCTTCTTGATGCGGATAAACACGGTTTCTTTCATGATTTGGGGCAGACCCTGATGTTGAACTACTCACTCCTGACATCAAACAGATGCTGTACTCCAATTGGACGCCTCGATGATTGCAGTTCCTTTTCGTGTGTTTTTGGGTGCGACAGATCCGCTCCTGTTCAGGCCATCGATTTTTGCTCGGTACTAGGCCTGTTGCATAAAACCGATGAGTTCGAACTATACTGAGAGATCAGTGACGGCTTGATAAATGACATCACACGACGGAATCTGAATTCAGGCCCGGTGTTGTTGTTCATTGCACAACAGCCCGTTACGTGGCCATTTTCAGCTTGACGCCATGACGCGTCGAACCATCTTTGGCTTGCTCCTGGTCTCCATCCTGAGTTCCTCGGTGGTACCAAGACAACGTGCAAATGACATAGGCAGACAGACATAATAGAAAAATATAAAGATGTCAGCCTGAGTCATTAGGCTCATGGATTTCTGAAGGATGGTTCCATCCATTGCACGTACTTGTCAAGAGTAAATTGCAAGCCCAGCAGCCCTAACCTCAGATTTATCAGCCCATTACTGTTCCATCTCTTTTAGTTGCGTAGGGTGCTCTTAGGATCTTTTATAGATTCAGACTTGGAATGACAAAAATTGTGGCTAACACTGGTATTTATCGCTTGTGATCCTGCTCTGTGTGATATCCTGGTTTGCTCTCGATTCACAGAAGAGTTGTCAGAGTCATGTATGCCTCTATACCTCTTGTTCAGTATGATCACTTTGTTGGCATTCGTTTTTCTTCAGACAATGTATATGTATTGCAACCTATTCATGTTCCAAGAATATGCAGTTCTGAAGGCAAGGCTGTGATTGTGATGTTCCGAACAAATCCGAGGCCATGAAAGGACATTCACTTTGACAGGACCCGACTTGCAAAGATGTTTTACTTCAGCGTATCACGTACAGGTTTTTGCAAACATAATATCAGTCAGCTTCTACAGATCAATGGACGGATGCCACATGAGAGCACAGTCTCGCCAGCTTGATTGACGATAAAGAACAAGCAATATATATATATAATTTGTGTTGTTCCTTGGACAGATGCACAAGGCAGACTTGCTGAATTTGCAGGACACTTCCGGCACACGCAAGTGCCGCGCACGCAAGTGCTGCGCCCACTTGCTGCCGTTCTGGACAGATGCTCATCCGAAAGTGGATGAACTTGGCTCTTGGGGCTCCGGGTCCAACCCGTCAGTATGTGGATTGGACTACAGCGCCACTACCGCTGGTTGCTCACTTTTGCTGCAATGGTAGAAACATGTAGAAACCGGTGTCCTCCAGGCTGCAGGGGAGGATAGACCCGGAAGACTAGTGCAACAGGCACCTGCGATGAACGCACCCAACAAAAAGAGGCAACAAGATCCCAGAACCAGAGCGCACCACCTCACCAGCCTAGACGTGAAGAAAAGATACATGGAACATAACCAGAGATGAAGTGTCAAGACATCAACAACTGCCCTGTTCATACCTTAGACTCTTTCCCTCCAACAAAGAGGTGATCTTCAAATCGTCTCCTCTCCGTCGCCCTTCCATCGCTGAACAGGAAGCGATGCCTTGAAGACGCTGGGCCTCGATGCGCGCGATGCGTTTAACCAAGTCAGTGAGGAGGAGCTCAAGAAGGCTTATCGCCAGGCAGTGCGGCGTTCCCATCCCGACGCCCCTGGAGGCGGACGGACCGAGGACGGAGTTCGACACCGAGTCGGTGACGCGGTGTCGGTGATGCTAAACCCTTTGGCTCGGACCACTTGAACCACATTTGACCCTTAGTGCTTGTTGTCGGGGACAGTGATGGACTGTGGGGTCATGTGAGCAACAAAGGCAGGCTGACTCAACAACATGCAATCGAAAGAAGCGCACGTTTGCCGCGATGGTTGTATAATGCAAATTCCAATGAATTCCAACAACAAATCAAGAAAGTGCTACAAATAATCACTGGAAAAAGTATTCCCTTACCATTCCATTCTGCGGACCTTGTACAAGCTGTTGCATATCTGACCACAAAACATGCTGAGACGGCAAGTTCTTCGCCTCTGCTCACAGCGCGAGTTCGTCCATCCAAGAACTACTCTTCATGGCTCGGTTTTTCAAAGACCATCGGTTCGTATCGGCGGAAGGGAAGCCATGGGTTGGAATAGAAGTAGCAGAGTCACCAGAAAGACCAGATCGCTTTTGGTGTAAACTGGTGTCTTGAATGCTCAGAGAGAGAGAGAGAGAGGCACCTGACTGTAAATGAGCGTACAGCACCAACTGAGACCAAAAAGAGGAACTCAACATGCGAATCGCACATCCACTCAAACTCCTACCCTTCCAGCGATCGCTGGACCCAGGTAGCGCCAAGAAGCTTCAGAAGGTGAAGGATGCCTACGACTATTTGATCAGTGCTCCTGAAGTCAAGGTTTGGGATGAGGGCCGCCGACAATACGGCGCCAGTGGTTCCTCTTCCTCAGGTTTTCCACCACCGCCGCCGAGTACCAAGCCTCGGCCTGACCCCGCGAGAAGGGAACTGATTATTGGAGGAATTGCAGGAGCTACGCTGGTCTCAATCCTTATTGCAACTCAGGTCGTGAACACTGAGAGGCGTGATGCACCCCGGCCAAACAAGATGGATTGGCTTTGAAACACTCTTGTGTATTTTGTTTTTTTTGCTGTTGTTACTTTTTTTTGCCGTGACATTACAGCTATTTGTCTAGGTATGGCATACCTGCAAGATCCGCTTGTGTTTTTGTTATAACTATCACTGTTTCAACTTTGGATATGTGAAAGCACCGGAGAGCATTTCTCCCCCATAAACAGATTGTTGTATACAGGGATCCTAGGTTGACGTGCTCAGAGTCCGTTCGGTATAGGTTCTCGCAGGCGGAGTTCGCTCTGCCAGGAATACTTGAACTCGTTCGAGGTGAGCGAAGGTTCTCCAGATGGTGTGGGTGACGAGAAGAAGCTCCCGCCGGTGGTGGCGCAAGGAAAATTTGTTCGCGGGCAGGACGGCGCCCCGAGGGCAGTTCAAAGTCCGTGGGACTCAAAATGCAGTGTTGGAATGCGTTGGAAGGTTTACGGATCTGAAGACACTCCCAGGTTTATCGGGAATAAGGAATATAATGGTCATTGCATGCAATCCATATCAACTGGGTACATCTTAGCTGTCTAAACAGCTGCTGCGACTGGCATTCTTGCGTCCATGCATCCTGTTGGGCTGATCCGCCCCTGTGCCCACAGTGACTCCACCTGTGCCAAACCGGTGTGACTCGTCCGGAAGCACAGCACCTTGTGATGAGGAGTACATCCGAGAGGCGGAAGTCGCATGGGCCAACAATTGCCGTGTGCTCTTGCTGGGCGATGTTCTGCCGGGTGGGGACCGAACGCTCGGCATGGCCACAAGAGAGCGAACCATGGCCCTCACCAAGTGTTTGCCACTTGGGCAGCGTTTTCGTTGCAGGTGAGACTCGTGAGACATGCTATTTTTTGGGGGGAGAAGCGATGGCCTCCAACCTACTAGCGGGTGAGACGGGAGAAGACTATGTCACACAGCGTCAAACTGAGCTACACAAAGATCTTCTCCTTTTTTGTCTGCCTGGAGACTCTGCATGTGTTAATCCACAGCTCGGTGTTGTTGCTGATGCTAAGATTGCTGCTTAGATACGCTATTAGACCCACGGGCACGCACCACTGTGTGCATGCAACTCCATGCGCATTCTACAGGGCCTGACTTATTGATGCGACGATTCAATCGCTAATGGTCCTGGTAGACGAAGTCGCTGTCCAAAAGCTCCAAGCAAGAACCTTGATACTGATGTCTCACCTCAGACCTGTCGACCAATCAATCATTACCGCAGTCTTTGCACGTAAGCTATGCCAGTTATGCTCGGTTGATCATCGTTCGATCCGCTTGGCGTACTTCGCTCATCCCAGGGCCGCAGTTCTGTCCGCCTACTCCGGTGATCAGCCGGCGTTCCTGGGCCGAAAGAGTGAGACCGCACTACGCCAGGGTTTGGGGTAGGGAGCGATGAGGCAAATTGGTGAGTGTTGCATGTTTGGCAAATTGGTCCAGAGTGATGGCCTCCAACCAATAGCGATGGCCTCCAATCTAGAAGCAAAGTGGGCATTTACTTTGCTTATGTGTGCTTCCCTCGAGGCAAAACAACAAGGACATGACACGTTAGCTCATGTTGTTGACATAGCATCGATTTTCATTTAGATGAGGCAAACTGCACAATACATGTGATGTTGCTCTTTTTTGTGTGTTGTGTGTATGTGTGTTTGTGTTTGTTTATGTTTGTTAGTGTTTTTGTTTGTTTGTGTTCATGTCGTTGTTGTTTTAGATGTTTGTTTGCTCTTGTGTGTTTTTTGTTGTTTGAATTGTTGTGGTTGCTGCGTCGTTGGTAATGGTGGTGGTTCTTGTATTTTTTCTCCAAAGCAATGTTGCAAGGTTCAAGTCAGTGACAGCCGTGATCAGTCAGGGTGACCTGAACCTGGTGGCCGACCAACTTCGGCAACAAGAAGATGAGGGCTTGGACATTCGGGAACCCAGGTCACCCTATTTGATGTTTGGCGGTGGGGCTGTTCTCAGATTCCAGAAGGATGATCCTGAACAGGAGGGGGGAAGGTTTGTGCAGGATCAAGCAGAGTGGTTGGAGGCTGCTTGTTGAGCCAATTAATTAATCCATGAAATAAGAAGACTCTGAAGATGTGAAATAAGAAGTGCGATTCCACTCACATGTCTAGATTCATGTTCTGATCGACAGTCCTTTTGTGCTCGAACAGGTTCGTATGGTAGCGGAGCTGTGATGCAGGGTACCCTCTGGGAAGCTCCAGATGAAAGCCCTCTTTTCACCGGGTTTGATCTCTTTAAAGCCATTGCTTACAAAACTTAGTGGCTGACAGAGAAGGAGGTCAGAGCCCAATGTTTCGAGAGTGGTCATGATCGCTTCTCGAGAAGTCGGGAAGTAAGATGAAGTAAGTATATAAAAGTTGCCTGTCGAAAGCTGACATGAAGAACCTGGAGCAGGTTTGCAAGAAACAAGACGGACCTTGCAGATGCAGATGAGAAGACATGTTCCATCAAGTTGTATGGATTGTTGGAGGTCACTTCAGATCATCAAGGCCATTGTGTAGCATCCAATGTGGCTGATGTTGTACCAGGTGGACGAGGCTGTGAAGCCCACTTCAAAAGCCAGGAACCTACTTTCAACATGGGTCGGCCACTTCATCAGCAGATTAATAGGTATAGTTGAAGAGCCAGTGAAGTCCGTGCAGCAAGGTGCGTTTACTTCATACATGTTGGGCTGCATCAGCGTGTAGTCCAGGGTATAGAGTAGAGAAGCCAAAAGGAGTGGAGTTCTCTATTGATGGGAGAGGTTGACCTTGCCAGAGAGGCAAGGGTAAAGGATGGTAAAGGCAAAGATGCCAAAGGATAAAAGAATGGAACAGATTGTATCGATAAAGGAAAGAAAGGCGAAGAGGACCCGAAAGGTACAGGAGATCAGAAGGGCAAAGGAAAAGGTAAGGAACAGTGGCAAACAGTGACCAGTGGCACAACAGGCACGCGTGGTCCGCGTGGTGGCAAAGATCAGGTTGAACCGGCAGCCTTTGACATGACAGTGCAGACCAACCTTGAGGGCCTGCAGTGGTGTTCTTTTCACTACAGCGTTGATGAGGATGAGCGTGAGACTGCGCAAGATGAGTGTCGAGCAGAGGGTTGAACTTTTGATGTCACGCAAGTGAGAGGAGGGACCTCCACCATCATATACAGTGGAGGTTGAGATGGTTCCTCATGGCTCGGGAGAGATGCAGCCGGTCTTCGATCGCGCGACAGCGTGTAGCCAAAAGAGGAGTAGGGAAGGTCCGTCAGTCATGTTCACGCAACCCTTTGCCCTTCGGGGCCTGACGCTTCGCCTTCAGTCAGGTTAAGATTCTGCAGAAAGGGTGAGGGAGTAGGAGAATCAGAGAAGAACGGAGGGGCATGTCTTCAAACATCAACAGGTTGCAAAGCGGTTGGTTCGATTTGTTGTTCCTAAGTGCCTGCAGCCGTTGGTTACAATGTGAAGCTGAGAAGGTTGAAGGCTTGAAGGCAAAAGCGAAGAATGACAGAGGTTTCAGTTTGACGGTTTTCTTTGCAGTCAGCTTCGCTGGTGCTGCTGCGGGCTTTCAGAATAGAAGGAACTGAAGATATTATTTGGAGCAGCCGCCTCACATGACCCAATAACAGAACTGGAGAGAAGACAGGCTAAGTATGAGGAAAAGGACCAAGAGGCCTCAGAAAAAGGACCAAGAGGCCTCAGAGATAGAGGACAGAGAGTTTTCTATGTTGAGAGGCCATGTGCAAAAAGAGCACGCTGGACTTGCTTGGGTCCGTTAGCAGACAGATGCCTTTCGCACACAGCGCCTCAAACTTCTTTGCAAGAAGGCCATGAGGACGTGAGGAGCGCTCTTGAGGGCAATATGAAGGATGCCGCACGAGCACAAGGTGTTATATATACCCTCAAAGGGTATAACCTCGAGAACATCACGGAGGCGCAACACAAGAGACAACAATCCAGAGAGAACAATGGGTACAGAGTTTGGCAGGGAACAGAATGCAGTGATATGGGGACGTTTCAATCATTGCAAAGAAAAACAAGCTCGAGCAGCAGATGCAGAATCTCCTAAACATGGGAGATGAGAATGGCGCACTCCGGGTGTCAGAACATAAGATGTGCAATTACCGATTGGTTGAAGACATTCCAGTGGGTTGAACTGAGCAATGCGCGGCTGCACTCACTTGTCTAGGTGAACACTTGCGACCATGATGATCGACACCCTTGTAGTTTTTCCCAAAAAATAGAAAGAAAAGGTCCGTAGAAAAAGCGTAAGAAAGGACACCACACGTTCTTCACTTGGTATGGTCCATGCTTATGTTGACCTGCTGTTCAAAACTAGAGGAGTGAGGCAGGTATGCAAAATTTGCCCCATGTGAGCCCCGCAGAACCCATGATCCCAAGTTGGCCCAAGCAACGGAGTGTCGCCTCAAACAAAAGTTTTTTGATTTGAACCACCAGAAAAAACTGATTTCTGAATTTCACGCTTCCGCTACCTCAGTTGCAGCAAACAGGAACTGCTCCTGCTGCCATCCCAGCGGCTCTACGTGGCTTCTTCTGACTTCGATCCTTTGGGACCGAAGACCTTAGCCGAACTGCATAAGCCCAAACTTGTCGTCTTCGATCTGTCGAAGCAGCAGTGGGAGGAACTCAAGGTCCAGTATGAAACAAATATCGGTGCCTGGGATTCGTTCAGAGAAGACAAGGAGAAACAAGGTTCCAGTTCCATGTTGGAGTGGTTTTTAGTGTTGAGGCCCATGGTGCCTGGGGCAAGTTGATCCTTTGGAACTTTGGGTGTGATTTTATTTTAACATGGCGCACTGGATCCCAAGGCAGCATTCAATGGGACACGGTTCACTGTTCCAACTGCTGTACGAACAACATGGCATACCGAATCCCAACAGAAAACTAAGGGGTATATAATCCTCCAGAGTCCTTTTTCAAGAGTGCAAGGCAGTCTTCGCAGAATCCCCAAAGGGATCCAAAGGGTGTCTATTTTCGTTGGAAGATGCGCCTGTGACTGAGGCGCTGAGGTCCGCGCGAAACTGGTGGAGAACGAGCAACTCATGGCAGCACTGCCCTTTGGATTCACCCAGAAGCCCAACCCCCTCTGGTATGTTCAAAGTGTAGTTGCGTGCGGTGGCAACGACGTATGGTCTGAGATCAAGTGCGATTTATGTGGGAAAGTCTGTTTGGCGAGATCTACAGAAGTGATCTTACTTTGGTTTTTCACTGTTTTTGACTATGTTTGTAGGAATTTCCATTGTTCACCACTCAAAATTTGTTTGATTTTGCTAAGACGGTGCGCAGCGAGAGAATATATCAATTGTTCAGCCGCAACCCTGATATCATTTGTTGCTCACAAAATGCTGGTGGGGTACTGGACGGGCAGGAATTTAGGGGTGCTTGGCCGTTTGGTACTTTTTAGCCTTGGAAATCTACTGGTACAATACATCTGACATGGCGTTAAGTTTGCACCAAAGAGTACCAAAGTGAGGATGTTTGAGTACATTGACGTGCGGCCACTACTCGCAATTGAATAGACTGTGCATAATGTTTTTTTTGTGCGTGTTACAAGCAGTGCCTCTTGTCCATTGTTTTTTTCCCAAATGAATAGTGCGGCTCGCGCTTCGCTTCCTTGCAGAAGCGTCCAGCTACTTGGAACGTCCTACGGTCCTACGTCCTACGGTCCTATTGCTACCCTTTCCAGGGCTTTAATAAAAATGTGTGGGGTATCGCTGTAGACATCCATTTTGGCTCACAGTCGGCTTCAGTCCGGACAGTCGAATTGTTGCTTCGCACATGAGGCAAGAGGCAGTGTATGGTCCAAAGGCTGATTCGAGTGAGGCAGCTTCAAATTAAAGCTTGTCGATTTCATTTGGCCAGTGATCTTGGAATGACGTTCTGGCTTGTTCAAGATGCAAACCATTTCTTGAGTAATTAGGTTGATCATTTCAAGGATGTTTTGGAAGTTTGGTTGAGAGTTGCAGCAGTCACATGCAGTCACAATCGATGCATCTTGGTCAGCCTCGGCTGCCAGTTAAAAGAACTGAGTGCAGCTTCGAAGGACTGGTATTCAAAGTTATGCATTTTCCAGCAAAGTTGCAGGTTTTCCTTGCAACAGTTGCAGCTAGGCACGGACACAACACCCAGGACTGTTCCGCAGCTCCGCACACTGTTTTCGCGACCGTGCCAAGACTCGAACAGCTTCCAAGACTCCAAAAACAATCGCTGAGCAGGTGTTGCTTGAAACGAGGCTTTTTCATCCTGACTGCCGGTTGTGGCGCGAGTGGCGAAGTGACCACTTTGTGTGTGTGGCACGAATCATAGTATAGCGATGCCCTTTGCTCCTAGTAGCGTCTTTGTTGCTACTATCAGACGAAAGTGTTGAGGCTTGAAGTATGGCACTGAAAGGCGCGGAGAGACGTACGACAACAAGGTGTGCATGCACCCGAAAGATAAAGATGGACAGATGCTGGCAAGCATGTTCTTGCGGGTGGGGTACTGGCAAGCGAATGAATGTGTCATATGATTTTATATATGTATATGCCTGCACTTAGATCCTGTTCCTTCTTTGACATCCATCATTCCTGAGCAGTATGCAATGTTCCTGTTTGAATCCAACATATGTAACCAAAAGCAAGGCAAGAGAGAACCCAGCGGGGCGACCGATCCCCTTTATCACAGCTATGTTTGATTGGGTTTTGCGTTCTGCCAGGTGTGACAGTGTCGTCTCACTTCATCAGATTGCGGTGGCCTGAGACATATAGATGTGGAGTCAAACACCCAGAAGTGAGAATGCCCAGCAGAGATGCCATGGACACTGCTTGGGTCCTGTCAATGGTGTGCAGGTCCAGGTGTGCATTTGAATTTGCACCTCGCAAAAGGCTTCACACCAAGGTATACCAATCTATGGTATGTCATGGTATGTCCATGGAAAGAGCAGCAAACATCCATGTCGAAATTGTTTACAAACTAATTGGCCGCAACATGCATGTGTGTTTCTTTCGCACTTACATATTAATAGGCCTTGATTGATCCGGTTTTGACCAGCCCTAAGAAGGTTCTTCTTACCACTTCAGGTGCGATCCACCTCGCAGACCCATCGCTGTTGGGTTCGTTCGTTCCAGGTGATCTTGGAGGCGCAGCTTGCAAGCGAAATCTGGGTGATTCCCCTGGAGCAGGCACTGCTGATGTTTCACCGGTTTTTGGATTGGCTGGTTAGATGCAGCTTCTGGGGGGGATCGCAACTGAGGCAATTGGCAATTGAACTGGTCTTGCTAACTCACTGCCCTGATGTATTATGGCAGGAAAGCCACAAAAGTGGTCTCCATGTGTTGCTATATGTGTGTCTCTTACTTGGCTTTCTTCGAGCCCTCTCTGCAGGAGCCATCGGCTTATGCGCTGACCACATGGTTGTCTTTTGACCTGGAGTTGGTGTGAAGCTCAGTTGGTGTGTTTCTGAATCTTTTGGACTTTGCGCGCTGTCTTGCGCCCATCTCCCCCATCTCAAACCGAGAAAGATGCTCAAGATAGCCCACAACATTGGATCAGAATCTCAAGATGCCACTGATGCCACGAGCCAAGAGGTCAATCTGAAAGAGGCGATCTGTTGCACGGATGTCACTGAGGCCCATTCCTCAGGGCCCAGGCTCGCCCTTTCTGGAGAACTGGTGAGGCCAAAAGCTTGGAAGCCCAGCCTGCAGAGCCATTGATGGATGTTAAGAATGGGAGACCTTGGGAGACCTTCTAGTTGGATTGTGCGGAAGAGCCAAATCCAGTCATGTCTGGGTAGCCCTTCATAGTTTTGTAGGAGATGTCAAACGTTTCATGCTCAAACAGATTCAGCGTTTGGAAGCAGGATTGCGATGACTCCCTGCTTCTGCTGATCTCCAGGAGTTGTAGTCTTCAGGGATCATGTTAGTACACTATTGCCTTTGGTCTTCAAATGCAACACATTGAGGTAGTCATGAACATGCTGCAAGAACATCTATGTACCTTATCCATTCTCCAGCCCCGGAACGATCCTCCACAAAATTTGCTTGGGGAATGCTGGAGGTGTGGGGGCTGCACCAGTCTACATAGGGTGACTTTGTCAATCATCAGCGATTGTATCTATATATTGAGGGAAGGCCGGAAAGGCCACAATGCCGATCAGCCCTTGTCTATTTGTGCTGCTCTTTGCCTTGCGCCAAGGTGGCCACAACATCTGGAGCAGAAAAGGATGGCTTCAAAGCGCTTGGCCTGCAGATCTTGTAGATGTTCAAAGTAGACATATTTCATCATGTGTTTAGATATACCCGGAATGTTTGGCCACGCAAAGGCCAACAGCCCAAGGCACCACTGTGTAAATGCATATACCGTAAAAACAGGTTTTCGTTGGCATTAAGTTCCTTGTAAGAATGTTTTGATATCAACCTTGGCATTTGTTTGCAGATTTTGCAGCCTCAAACTCAGCTAGCAGTCACTGACCAAAAAGCAGCCTCCTACTTGGTCACCAAGCTGGATGGCGCTGGCCTTTTGTCTGCAAGATGTCAGCCTAGCACAGGTGACAATTCAATGGAGTGCTGAATGCAAAGCAATTATTATTTGCAGCTTTAAGTTTATGCGTTGCAACCTTGAAAGGTCAAAGGTTACTTGTCATACTGAACATTGTCCTGGTCAATGTGTGCAGAGCAGGTGGTTTGGGCCGCTGTTCTTCCTGAGTGCGTAGAGAAGGGTTCTCAATTTAACTCCGGGGTCTGAGGGTGAGGCCGCGTTTGCTTTACGTGGCCTCAGCGGTCGCAACCGTCTTCAACGATTGCCAGTGAGATTTCCATTGGGGAAGCTCTTTGAAGAGGTCTTGGATGGATGGGTGCAAGAAAGTCCTAGAAGGCTGTCACACCAGAGTGTGTCCTACAAAGGTCTTGCATGGGAGTGTCACGCAAGATTGCCTCACAAGAATGTCCCACAAGAGTATTCTAGATTCTAGACGAATGTCGCAAGAGTGTCACACTCTGAGACTGTCATATAAGATTGCGCCCGAAGAGTGGTGGAAGAGAGTGTCCTACAAGGGTATGTTGGACATATGTTGCATGAGTGTCCTACAAGACAACGACTTGTGTGCTCAATGTTTGCCCTAATTTGGATCATTTGCACGGCAGGGACCGGCTTGCGTCCCAAGGTCGGGCGGATTCTGGCGACACCCATCTTGCTGATCTTGGTGCCAGCAGGACATCCTCCTGTCACTGTTTGTACATCATCTAACTAAATGGTTAATGGGGGGTAGTACGTGGTGGCTAGCCATTTTCTCCTAGCCATTTAAGTTTGCAGGATTTGTATTTATATGCTTTTGCATGCAGATCATGGAAAAGGAAAAGGAAACATGAAAAGGAAGAGACAAGGAAAAAGACAACTCTGACACGTGGTTACTGTTCAATGTGGCAGCAAGCCTCAACACCTGCTCCCTGACTATTTTAAAGCTCAAATTCCAGTGGGACAGGCTCAAAAAAAGGACTCAAATTGAGCTCAAAAAGAACAAAGCAAAAGTGGAAAAGAAAACGAAACGGACAAGGAAAAGGACCAGGAAAGGGAAAAGGGAAGGAAAAGGAAAGGAGAAAGGAAAAGGAACAGATAGGAAAAGGACAAGGAAAGGGAAAAAGGAAGAGGAACAGAAAAGGAAAAGGAAAGGAAAAGGAAAAAGAGAAGGAAAAGGAAAAGGACAAGGAAAGGAAAAGGAAAAAGACAAATGGAAAAGGAAGAGGAACATAAAAGGAAAAGGACAGCCACCGATGGGAGGCATGCACCGGTCAGGTGTAGTGCAGCGAGGAACATGATAAGAAACTATTATGTCATATCATGTCCACAGTGCTGAAAACATAGAGCAAACGAGAATAACACAGCCGAACACAGCAATTGCCTTTCATAGACTAAGGTTGAATGATTCGCCCGTTTCTCATCTATGCTTCTAGGGCAGCTAGGGCTTCTTCTTGACCTTGTGAAGTCGTTAGATTGGCCTACTTTTGCAATTTTGTGGTAACTATTCACAAACTAGGTGTTGGAAGTTGAAGGGTTTTGTGTTTTGCAAGAGGCAATGGGGTGCTCTTGAGAAGTTTTGCCTACCAGCATCTAACAACCTCTGAAAGAAGATTGTACTATCCTTCACCATCTTTTCCGGTTTGCGTGCAAGCCTAAGTCCATGCAAATCTGTATGTGCACATGTGTGTGCACACATGTGTACATGCATGCGCATACGAATCAGGATGTTTATACGTATATCTTGTTGTGTGCAGTTGCAAGAATTTGTGACGCTTCTTGCTTTCCAGCGCGCTGGATAGAATGTCATCCAAAGGCGCACCGTACTTACTGGTGATCTCACGGACTTGTGCACATTTTTGAGCATTATTGATGCTGTATGGTGCAGTTGAAAATGGTTGAGCAAAATTGAAACATGTTAAAGCACTCTAAAAATCACATAAAGACAGTCACATGACATCATGTAGCAAATGCCTAACCAAACTGTGACATAGCGTGATTTGTTTTGTTGCGTCTTATGGTTTCTATTTCATGTCATGCCATTCTTGATCATGTTTCTAAACGTTTCAGTGTTCTAGAAACATCTTGCAGCAACATGGAGCAACGTAGAACACCAATGCGCAGGGTGAAGAAACAATTGAACAACAACCAAGTAGAAAGGAAAACATCACTGGTTCTACTAATATGAGCCCCCAATACCGCTTCATCATGGCGCACATATTGTGATATTCTATGATTGTGACAGACTTTAACATACAACTATATTATGTTTCTTGGCAAAGACCAAAAAGACCAATGCAAGTGAATGCCCATACAACATCAAACAACTTAAAGAACAAACCGTGTTATAAACACTGCGATAAAACACCGTGATACTATATACAAGCTTATAAAGTAGCCAGTGAAGACATGAAAACGCACGAACACAAGAAATCATACAACAAACCGTGCAAAAATCTGACTGCACCATATTGCACCCAACCAGCATATTCCACCCATGCTTTTGTATTTTTGAGCGCCAAGAAAGTTCCGCGTGTGCAGGCAGCATGAATCCATACCTTCCACATGAAACTTGCATGAGTCGGTAGCACACTCCCTGCATTAGGGTTGGCTAGCCAGTAAACACCCCCCCTAGGGGGTGGTGATATAAGAAACATGAAAAGGAACACCAACAGGAAAAGGACAACCAGGTGTCTACCCATGTTTGCCAACTTTGGGCTCTGGAGTTCTCTGCGTGACTGTATGTGGCTCTGACGTGTGGTTATTGTGCCGCTCCAATGCCAGAGCAAGCCTCAGCACATGCGACCTGAAAACATTGAAGCTCAAAATGCAATGGGAAAGGCCAAGGCTCAAAAAAGTATTCAAATTGAGGTAAACTTGCACTTCGAGGTCACTCCTGCGCCTGCCACGCGAAAGCCACGCACGGCCCAGCGGCGCACATGCGCGCCGCAGCTGGTCCGGGAGGCTCTGTGTATGTGCCTACGAAATCTGCACTTCGAAGTTCACGAAGTCCTTCGCTTGCCACACGAAAGTCACGCGCGGCCCAGCGGCGCCCACGCTCGCCGCAGCTGGTCCGGGAGGCTCTGTGCACAGTGAATGCCATTAAATCTGCACTTCGAGGTCACTAAGTCCTGCGCCTGCCACACGAAGGCGTCTGGGAGGCTCTGTGTACTGTGCCTGCCACGAAATCTGCACTTCGAGGTTCACTGCCACGCGAAAGCCACGCGCTTCCCAGCGGCGCCCACGCGCGCCGCAGCTGGTCCGGGAGGCTCTGTGTACTGCGCCGGCCACAACATCTACGCTCTAGGTTCACCGAGTGCGGTGCCTGCCACGAAGCTGCACCTGTCAGATGAGTGAATGTGATGAGTTGTGTGAGATGAGTGGTGTAAGATGAGTTGTGTAAGATGAGAGTGGGATGTGATGGTGGTGTAAGATGAGTGGATGTGATGAGTTGTGTAAGATGAGGGGTGTAAGATGAGTGGTGTAAGATGAGTGGATGTGATGAGTGGTGTAAGGTGAGTGTGATGAGTGGTGTAAGGTGGGTGGGTGTGATGAGTTGTGTAAGATGAGTTGGATGTGATGAGTTGCGTAAGATGAGTTGGATGTGTTGAGTTGTGTAAGATGAGTTGGATGTGATGAGTTGTGTGAGATGAGTTGGATGTGATGAGTTGTGTGAGATGGGTGGTGTAAGATGAGTTGGATGAGATGAGTTGTGTAAGATGAGTTGTGTGAGATGAGCGGTATGTGATGAGTGGTGTAAGATGAGTTGCATAAGAGGAGAGGCGGGCGGAGGCGGAGGTGGGACAGACGGAGCTGCGGGCGCAGAGCGAAAAACAAGAATGATGCGGGGAATACAACAGCAATTGCCTTTCATGACAAAGGTTGAATAATTCGCCCATTTCTCACATGCTTCTAGGGCAGCTATAGGGCTTCTTCTTGACCTTGTGAAGTCGTTGGATTGGCCAGCTTGAAAGACCATAAAAGACACGCTCCATTTGCCGAAGCCAAGTTCTGGCCCCAACAATACCAGTTTCAATGGATAACAACTACTTTTGAAAGTTTGTGTGGTACACTAGGTGTTGAAAGTTGAAGGTTTGGTGCTTCGCAAAAGGCACTGGGATGCTCTTTAGAGCTTTGCCTTTGAGCATCTACCAACATCTAACAACCTCTGAAAAAGGTTGTACTATCCCCTCTTCTGGTTCGCGCACGAACGTAAGCCCATGCATGTCTGTATGTGCACATGTGTGTGTGCATACATAACCGGATGTTTATATGTTTATATCTATATATATCTTTTCGCGCGCAATTGCAAAATTTTGCGACGCTTCTTGCTTTCCAGTGCACTGGATAGAATGTCGTCTAAAAGCACACCGTACTCACTGGTGATCTCACGGACCTGTGCGCATTTTTGAGCATTATTAACGCTGTATAGTGCAGTTGAAACATGAAACATGTTAAAACGATGTGTCGCCTAAAAAACTATGACATACCGTGATTTTTGTTACATAAGTGTTACATGTTCTTCTTACTGGCCATACCATTCTCAATCTTGCTTCTAAACGCAGCAACAAGGAGCACCGTAGAACACCAATGCACAGGGTGAAAAAGTTGCTGAACAACAACCAAGCAGAAAGGAATACATCACCGGCTCAACTAATATGAGCCCCAATACTGCTCGATCATGGCGCACATATTGCGATATTGATATGTTTTGGCCATGACAGGCTACGTTGTACTATGTTTCTTGGCAAAGACCAAGAAAACCAATGCAATATAATGCAAACCCACCAAACAATTTAAACATCAAAATGTGATCAAAATAAAACTGTGAGTGGAAAAGCACACGACCCGAAGCATACCTTTTTTCGTGAAGGTCATGAACACCTGAAAAGGTGAACCACCGGTCAAAACGACCTGCGTTTGGCTCAAGAACAACGTGAGCGGCTGTTTTTGTCGGTCGCTCTTGAGGCTTTTTCCATAACCACAGGTTATGAGCCCAAAGAGCGTGTGAAGTCCACCCTCATTGTTGAGGTCGCTGGTCCCCATGAGCGGATTCGCCTCGCGTCGGCGTCGTGCCTCACGAGATGGAGGCAAGCTGCGGGATCCGGGAGATCGCGAAGGGCAGTTGAGAGTGGGCGCAGCAGATGAGAGGCTCGATGCCCTCCTCGAAGAGGCGCGAGCGACATCCATGCCTCCTGCAGTGAAGAGGGTGGGTGGTGTACCTGCGGCGGCTGATGGCCGGAGAACCTCAGCGGCAGCTGGCAGGGCTGATGGTGGTCGGCAGCCTCCTCTCGTGGGAAGGCAAGAGCGAGGAGCTGGCTGGCAGGAGACGGTGAGGCAATCCCTTGAGGTGTTGCAAAGGGCCTTTGGACCAAAGCCGGTGGGACCTCCGCCTCCTGAAGGACTACTTGGACCTCTATTTCATGGCCGCGATCCAGGACACCCTCGCGCTGATGATCCGGGACAACCTGGAGGGCAAGGGGCTTGGCAGCGGGAGGCAGCGTCATCGCCTCAGTTTCCAATTCCGCCGAGAGTGGACAGGAGCAGCATGAATGGTGAAGGTGGTCCACAACCTAGAGTACTTGAGCCCTATGACATGTCCACACCCCATCAACATGGGCGGCAGCAGACCAATCCTTTTTGGAGTGACCGTGGACGTGCACCTGATGTGGCATCCCGTTCTGAACGTCCTCAACCC